GTGGTTCACAAAATTTATTGTGCAACAAGTTAAGAGTGACTTAACATTAGGGCCACGGTAATAAGAAAGGTTGGATAAAACGCTTCTGAACACAAAGTTCAGGTTTCGCCTTATAAATTGCTGGAGCTTTGGCTGCTCGAAAAGGATATAATTGAAAACCTGCATCACACACTCCTGTTTTTCATACACTTTGTTACAAACTTACAGTAACCTTTGCTGACAAGTAACAGTATATGCATAAACCTTCAAATAAATGTTCAGTTTTGAACAGAAGATACGAAGCGGGATCTCTTTGCTCAGTCATATGTTCTTAATTCACACTAATTTGTATGATCGTTACTCAGCTTAAAGGAAGACTTTCCCACGAAAACTGCTTAAATTCAGTGAGCAAATGATATTTGATTAATCCTTAGTTTTGAGACTGTTAAATAGTGTACTCGTATCTTACAAATATCATCTGATTGTAGATTTTATTGAAGTTTGGTTGATTTCACCATCATAGTATACACACTTAACATTTTATTATGGAGTAACTCTTTTACGTCCTCAGTACAACAAAGGACTTCAAACTAGAGCTTGAAAGTTTCGGTAGTTGTGGTTTCATTTTTACGGGGTGGAGTTATTATCCCCATAACCAACCTTCCTTCTTTACCGGCTTAACGAGGTTTAGGAATGTGTCAGTCGGAGATTGAACTTCGGAACACGTGAGGTGTGGTTGGCGAGTATTCTACCGCTAAACCATCGATGCGCCATGAGGTATAACATGATGAAATCATAGTATTGGTTGAAAAGAACGTGACCGTAAGGCAAATTTTTATCTATAATGGCAGAAGCTAATAAAGTTGGTAATGGAAATATACACTGGCAACTCGATGCACAGATATAACCAAAAGACGTCCACCGTTTCTTAGAATCACAATTTTCATTTTTCTTGAGCATTGCTCTTCTCTGTCTACCTTTCATGTTTCCCATTCCATTTCTCAAGCACTGTCCATTAAATCCATCTCTCCGAAATTCGATATTCTTGACATATTTTTATCTGTATCTATATTATTAGTATTATTCCCTTGTGTTCCGAAGGGCTTCAACAACACATCTACACTTCTATTTTCTCCAATCCTGTTCAGCTGGGTCCACGATTGCCACACAATATCTCATCTCCTCTGCATGTGATCATCAAACCGAGGACCCACTCGTCGCTTCCCATTTGAATTCCACTCAGGCGTTGGTCTGCATTGAGCGCGATGTCTTTCGACGGTCCCTCAATGTATACCCGATTCATCTCGATTTTCTCCTACATATTTTCTGAGCAATAGGCTGTTTGATGGTGTTTCCAGCCAAAGTTTCTTATTGCTGACACTTTCAAGGTATTTAATCTCTAATATAGAGCCGGCGAAGGTAGATGTTGATAAAAGTCGGTAACTTATTGGAAATTCTTTCCGTGATACACAGTGCAAGTTTCTGACTCGTATATAAGACTGACTGACTTCATATTTGTGTTGAATCGAATCCGAATCTTGTTCTTTATTCTGGCTAGCTGAGTGTGAAGCCGCGGATTTTCGAACTGGTTTCAAGTTGATGAAGGTGTATCTTGACTTTCCGATTCTGGCTGACTGACTTTGACATCTTCATCCGTTCCGACTGTCTGTGGTTGAAACGATGCTTCCAAGCCATATAAGTGTCGAAAGTAACCCATGTTAAGTCTCTCCCTTTGATGGAGGTTACAGACATCTACATACTACTTATAAGTCTTGTCACAACTCAAAGAGGAAATGGTTAAGAAAGTTCACTTCCGAAATGAAACACTGGAAGCTACTGTAAGGATTTCTGTCACCAATAGTAGAGTGCCTTATATACACACCTAAACTTATTGTATTAATTACATAGAAATAAACGTCTCTGTTACCAGTCTTAATGGAGCATTCAAAAATGAAACATAGCCTTCTTTTAGATACTTGAAGAAGGTGTTAATTGACTCTCATTGATGTGAATAGCTATTTGTCCACACCTCTGCAAACATGCATGTCTCTTCTGAAGAACATTATCTACCTTATCTCGACTATTTAAGTGTCTACTTTACACTGTCGACTCAAGTTCATGTGTCAATGTAGTCGAAGATTGAATGATCAATTCATGGTTGTTTGCCCAAATTCAAGTCTATATTTTGGCGGGAGTCATCGATACTGCAGTCACCGTTTCATCGTTCGCTGTTCGTTGGTAGACAGAGAAAAACTATCAGAAGTATTATTGTGATTTATTGTTATGACATTTATTTTTAGACTTTGTGTACAATAACCTAATGGTTGGCTCTGTATTGGTGTAAGAATAAAGGGTTCTTGAGTCACCAATTTGTGTTCTGGTTTTTTTGCGTTGGTTATTACGTATAGTTCCTGAAAGTCTTGCAAGGACAGCGTGAGGTCCAGTGTATTAAGACCTGGACATTGACATCCTGCTAGAGTATAACTAGATATGATAGAGAAGATTTACACCTCAGGTGGATGATATCGATGTAGTTGTCTTCTCTGAGCTGGATAGTTTATTTGCAAAGCTTTCATCGCAAAGGATCAAAGTTCAAATCAAGGAAACAATTATTAGCAATAGAAGTAACTTAGAGGGTGTGAAGACACTCAAAAACAGCAAATTACGCTCAAGGTCACCAGGAGAGATGACTGATAAACTCTTGGAGAAATTTAAAAGCCCTCTTCCAATTGAAGTATGGGATGAAGATGTTGCCTAGTGTGTAGGGCAATGAAAGCTTCACAAATAATTTATCCAGCTCAGAGAACACAATTATATTAAAAACAGTATACATAGCCACATTTTACCATTTAATGGTCTACATGTAACAACAGAAGGCAAGACACGGGAAACAAGCTATATTTTATTGATCAAACCGCTGTTCGTATATCTACAGTTTATATTCGTTAACCAATCACTAAGCGTGTGATTTCGGTTGACATCAGACGATACGAAATATAATGTTAAAATATACAAAGTATTCTGCTGCTAATGTAGTATTGAACTGTGGGAAAGTATCTTGTCCCTGACATTAAATAGAATGTTCACATAGATATATTGTAGGCAGTATTGAACTGCGTTAACATTCCGACTCTAACATCAAATAGAATGTAATCGAAAAAGTTAAAAAAAATAAAAACAGTTTGATTCCACACTGTATTTTTGGTACAAGTATGGAATTTTCACCATGGATATCGGTAGCCCAAATTTCGCAGGCTGACCATAGATATCAGGTATGAGTCAGCAGGGAATCGAACGTCGGACCGTGTGCATGGTCGGCGAGAGTCCTAAACACTGTTCAAATAGATATGTCCTATTCTGTCGCTGATGGCGAAGTGAACTGTGGGAATATGTTAAATACTATTCCGTAGGATACATTATCTCTACCACTCTACGATCCACAAATGAAATTTCTGAGATTAGATTTTTTTAAACTGTGGGACTTCCACATTCCTCCTTGACACACTCAGTGACTGGTTTCAATGTACAACTTTGCACCAATGTGCAACAGTTAAAGTCGCCACAATCCCACTATACAGCACACAAAGCAAGAGAAGAAAGCAAAACAAAATTCAAAACAGAGATATGAGGCAAAAAGAATAGTAATATCGAAAAACAATATGTTTTCATTGTATATCATAAATCACAAAGAGTGGATGCATCTCCACCTGTCATTGAGAACGATCACTTTGAGCCATATCACCAATTGTCTACAGCCTTCATTCGTTTTTACCGTCCCGAGGACCCAAACCAGTCAGTCAGGAAGTCTACACCTTCCTACGTCACTGGCTTAAACTAACTGTTGTGGATTTCATTAACTGATTGATGAAGCCGTGTTTTCGTTTGACTACCACTGGCTCTTTTCCAACCTGACCCTATATCAGCTAACATTGCCCATTGTCGAAGAATGTGATGGCTAGGCATACGTAACACATATTCTAACCATCTCAAACGATGCTACTTTACAGCCTCGTCTGTTGATTTTCCACCTCACTTACCTAGCACTGGACCCATGCCTCACCTCAATATTGCTCACTTTATTATACCACTTCACACGGGAGATAGAGCACAGATACCTATGATCAAAGACAACCAATCTTGTCATGTCTTCCACTCTCAATGGCCAGGTCTCACCCGCTGATATAAAGGAGGACGGAGCGGACTCCTAAGCAGTGCACACGTCCTTTGGTTTACAGTCAGCTGGATATCACATCTACGCCAGAAACGGTGTAAACTGGCATATGCGAAACTATCCCTCTGTATCCGTGCTGAGATTTCGTCAGCGATCAATCCGTTGGCACTGGCTGATGGTCCTTCCCAAATAAGTGAAGTGGTCAAAACGCTCCACCAAACCCTTAGCTCCCTATTTGCAAACTGTGAGTCAGTGTAGTCCAGTCCTGCAACTTCCTCTTACATTTGGCGGGAGCGACGAGTTTGTGAAATTACGTCGACTGAGATGGTTAGGAAATGTGCTACACATACGTGGCCTAGTCATCGCCCTCCTCGACAACGAGGAATGTTAGCTGACATACGGTCAGGCTGGAAAAGAGCCAGTGGTAGTCAAACGAAAACACGGCTTCATCAATCAGTCAATGAAATCCACAACAGTTAGTTTAAGCCAGTGATGTAGGAAGGTGTAGACTTCCTGACTGACTGGTTTGGGTTCTCGGGACGGTGAAAAGTAATGAAGGCTGTAGAAAATCGGTGATATAGCTCAAAGTGATCGTTCTCAATGACTGGCGGAGATGCATCCACTCCTTGTGACTTATGAATTCTAATGAAACTATATTGTTCTTCGTTTTTACTATTCATTCGTCTCACACCTCTGTTTACTGTCTCTATTATGCATTTCTTCTACCTTCTTCTCTTGTTTTACGTGTTACAAAAAGGGAGTGTGGTGAGTTGAACTGCCGCACATCGGTGCAAAGTTCTATGTCGAAAACAGACAGACACACAGAAAATAAACCAAACAAGTGGGCATAATTGTGAATTGTATTGGAAAACACTAAAAGTATCATTCATATATACACAGATTACAAATATAATAAGAGAATATTTACACAGAAAACATGAGATTGATTGTTAGGGAGTGGAGTAATAATAAATCATACAAAGCAAAGGCAATATAAAGAAAATATAAAAAAAGAGAAATGAAGTAGTTAGTGGTTAACACGGAAATAATTCCATTCATTACATTCTGATTAAGAGATTAGGAAATACAAGGAATCATTTGTGTATTCATTACGAAATTAATACGTCAGCGTCCAGTGTCCAATGAGTGGTAATAACAGCCTTAACAGGAATTGATTGAATTACGCTACAATAGAAGGTAGAAACAGACAACAGTATGAATAAAGACATATTAGTACCAGAGAATTGTAGATTTTTCCAATCAAAAAAGAAAGAAATCTCAGCAAATATATTCAAGCAGATATCGCTATTAGCCGGGATTAGTAAAAACACTGTACGATAGGGCCAGAAAGTTATGTTAGCCTAACAAGGTAGGAGCAGAATTAAGTTTTGTTGAACAATGCCTTAAGGAAAACGGGTATCTACAAGGATTTATCCTTAAGTAAAGCAAAGAAAGAGATGAGAAAGAGAAGTATTCAACAGTTGAAAAGAAGAAAGTGTTCATTCACCTCCCAAACAAAGGAGAAATAGTATCGCAAAAGATTCATAAGAGGACGAAAGGAGCAATAAAGAGATGCTTCCTTACAGCCAATCTAGTGACATGCTTTATAAGCCAATCAAAAGTGGATAAGTACCCTGCTGATGTTACCTCCAACTGCATTTATAAATTTACGTGCACGTGCAGCAGCAATTACAGTGGAAGGACAGAAAGAAAGGCTTCTATCCGGTTTTCACAGCATATTCCAAGAAACTTTTGCTCAAAAAGAAGCATATATATTTACAAAGTGCAATTACCAGACACCTTGTGGATACGGGTCATTTTGTCAAGATTTCAAAATCCTTCAAAATATTAAACATACAAAGGACAGAGAATCTACTACGATTTACTGCTGAAGCAATTGCAATCAAACGTCTCAGACCAAACTTATGCACACAGAAAGAGAGTGTAGTCAATCTCTCACTCCCCTTCCTTTTTGTTTTTTTCATAGTTTGATAGTATATAAATTGATGATAACTTAAACTATAAATCGCAATATTTCTATTCCGGATACGCTCGTTTCAAACATTGAAATATGAAATGTTATTATCTATAACCATTGTAAATTCAGGTAGTTTGCAGTTAGCTGACGAGAACCTGTGAAATAGAATGATGATATCATTTCATACTCCAAATTTGGTCTTCCTTTCACTATCGAAAGGTATCTATTTCATTTTGAATAATACACTGACACCTATATGTGTGAAAGAACCATTGAAAGCGGGAAGACATATAACAGTTCCACCACTCTCTCTCTCTCTCAGGAATACAACATACCTATGAATTTATCGGAGATCAAAGGAGCTCTAGGCTTTCAGATTACACTGACTTGTCACAATTTTACCTACCTTAGTCCGTTGTAGGTATGAATGTTGTTAGACTGTGTAATAAGACAAGGCTAACTGATTTGTAAATGTGAGTTTAGAACTTGGGCACCGCGTTGTGATAGAATGTAATTCCATATTAGATAAGTTTATTTTAAATATCACACAAAGTGATAATGCAGTATTAATAACTGGATGACAAGGTTTCGAGTGTGAATTATTGCCATTCACAATCACATCAGTTTAGTCACATGTTCCTTCCTTGCTCTTCCTCTCTCTCCGTATCCCTCTTCACCTTGTTGTTTGTTGCCACTTTCCATATCTCCGGTATAGGCGGTATTGAGTCATTCCGATTCCTATTGTCTAGTGTTGAATTGATAAACAAAGATTCCATGATTCGCCTCTTTCTCTCCAGCTGACTACATTACTTTTTAATACTCTCACCATGTGCCACCCCACCTATTGTGTGATTACATGCAAGTGGATGCAGTGAAATGGCTGAGCTTTCTTCTAGGTTATTTAACTTGGTAGGGTTAATCATTCTATGTCCAGCTAAATTTTTGCGTTCCAATAATCTAGTTAACCTCGATCTACTAGTTTGACTGGCCTATGTAATTGACCTCACTAACAGTCATTACATGGTATACGGGAAAATTATATTATTTTTCTTAATTGGATCTATTGGGCCCCAATAAGATGATTGGAACATAAGAATTTAGCTATGCCTGGAACCATTCATCATGATAAGTTAAACAACCTAGAGAAAAGCTCGGCCATTCCACTGCATTCACTTGCACGTAATCACACAATAGCGTGAGACAACTTCGAGTGAGAATGGTTACCCAGAGTAATTCATTGACAACAATATGAATCACAACCCAAACAAGCCAAAGTACCAACAGTTCCGAAAAAAAGACTTTTTCCTTGCAGCTTCAGTTCCTCAATGATAACACCAGTGAGATAATAACACAACGTTTAAGGAATGCAGTGGAAAGAGCATTCAATACCGCTGAAGTGTATGCTGTCTCTTCAAAACCATCCATATTTTAAGTTCACAAGTTAGAGATAAACTGACTAATTCTGCCTCTTCTATGTGTATCGACCAAATTGACTGCACCCACGGGGAGCCAGCTAGCTGCATAGGCTCTACAATTAGGCGTATTCATCGTCGGATTTGCGGACACCAAATCCTGCGTAATCGTTAAATAATGGACAAGCAAAGTCCAATCATAGTTCTATTCTATCTCATATCGTGGATTCAGGACACAAGATTGATGTTAACAAGGTCTACAAAATCATAGAGTTGGATGCGGAATTTACCGGGAAGAATATTCCTCGCTCAAGTTCTCTTTTGTCCACTAAATGCCCGAAATGAAAGTAATTCATTCAATGTTAAAAGAAGTTATCAAATTACCTTGTAAAGTTATGCTGACTAATGATTACTTGTTGGTAACCACAATGTCAGTAGTTAATTGTCTACTTCAATTTCTGTCTTCGATTTATGAAATGCACTTTTATGTCTGTTTAAAATGCGTTTACTTGAAAATGTTTTACCACATTGATCACATGAATGAGTTTCTCCTATGAAGAAAAAGCACAGAAACTGTGAAACGATTTCCTTTCTTACCGAAAGACAAAATTCAAAACAACCTTGACGTATATCGAAAAATAACAAGGAGTATAAAAGAGCAGTTGTCAATATTAGGCGGACGGTTTTCTCACCGAAGACATTGGTTGGTGGTCGCGTTAAAAATCACGAATTGGTAAAAGTTAGAATTCATGGGCTGGCCATTGAGTCGGGTCCCAGTGGCTGAATGGGGTATGCGAGCCAGCTTGCCTTGTAACCGGAAGGTCATGGGTTCGGAGCCGGGTGGTGGGTAGGTACTCACGATGATTCTCAGACTAAGATGAAATAGGTGTCCAGTAGTCCCTGAACAATCCGTGGTCAAACTCCTGAAAAATTTAGGCTTGTTATTTGTTTAAGTTATCATCATAATGCACCGAAATGCTCAGAATCTCCTGCAGGGACGCTTCAATGATTACTTAAGTGTAGAATAACACTATTTTGCTGAAATCCAGAATTCACATTTCGTCCTTTTTAGGACTCGCCCACTGAGTGATTTTTCTACTATTATGGCCTAAGCATATCAAGTCAGGTTCAAGCCTCAGTGGTAATGTCATCACCTCACTGGGGAAGTAGGCACATTTAGCTGATGAGTTCAAAGCAGAACTATATGGGAATCGTGGATTATCAACCAAATAGTATTAAGTTTGGTTACAGAAGACATAATACCGTAAATGGATGAGAGTATCATAACCCATTAATGTCTGAACATTGTGAAATAGATCAAATAAAGTATAATTATATCTCAATAGTTTACACACAATGATGAACTTTTGTTATTGGTAATATTTCGAGCAAAATTACTGCCAGTGATCACACCACTGATGGAATTTTGTTCACACATTTATGATATGTACTTATGCATTTTTGTTCATTCATTTTTGTGTAATCAGAATTATCTTCCAGGTTGTTGACAGTTTTGCTGCTGAGTCACCCTTGTCACATGTATCCGGTGTGACCTTAATGAATATAGATTCGGTTGTAAGTCTCACTTTCCATTCGTTCGTATTAGTTTTCAGAATACAAACATTGTTCCAATCGACATTGTGGATTTTTTGGCGAAGTTAAACTTTCGACACCACTAACTACCAATCAGCGAACTATCCAATGAGATTCACGAACGATATGGAATTATCCAATGAGGTTCACGAACGCAGTTCAATGTTGTATGGCGCTTGATTCATTTCTAATGCGTGACCTTACAACGCTACAGTTGCAATTCGAGGAGGTTAGTGTTTTCCACTATTTCCTGGATTTGAGTTGCTCCGGAAAGAGGGAATTTGTTTGTGTGGTTGTATCATTACTTTAAAAAGCTATACCAAATCAACTGATGGGTTTGTTCATCTGGAGAGGGTAAGCTGATAAATTTAATATTTCGTAGGAACTTACTTTCACTAGGTCGCATCTCTCCCTAACCCAGATTTTGTATATCTGCAACTAATGGGTGTTGAAACAGGCTGTGAGAGCAGCAGCTGCCGAGATGGAGAATAGCGATGTCTCAACAGTTCAGTGGTACCAGCATTGCAGAGACATCGCATCATGGAAAATGGGGAAAATCACTTGTTTGCTAGGTGGGGAAGACGTTATCGTGCGTGTCGATGAGACAGTGCTGGTAAAAAAGAAATACAACCGTGGTCACTAGCGAACGAACAATATTTGGGTAATAGGTTTGTATGACACCTCCCTCCGAAAGGGATTCGCCGAAAGGATAGCAGATGGAAAAGCATTGACAGTCCCATGCTAAACTGGGAGATGTTTGTCTCACATGTTCGAGAAAGATATCCCATGTAACTTTTTCATTCTCTATTTTGTGCTTTTTTTCTATAAATATACATTTCCATTCATCATATATGCCTCTTTAATGTAATTGGTTCATTCAAGGTCGTTTTCTGATTGGTTGTTAGTGGTGTCGAAAGTTTAACTTTGCCGCTTTTTTCCCATGCATATGCAGCTTTGGATGAATTTTATTCTAAATTGTTCTAAGCTTGTGTTCCTTCCTGTTGGTTGACCTTTAGTTAGGCGTTTATGATCATTCATTCTTATTTTGAGTGATCTAAACGTTTGACCCACACACTGAGTCGGACACTCGACGCAAGATATTTTGTAAATTACATTACTACTTTTATCCATCATTTTTATTGGATCTATCAGTTGATTTATTTTATTTTGATTAGACTCGTCGGTTTAAACGTGATGCGAATCCCAATATTTTCTTGAGGTTTCTTCGAATTGTCTCTGATGTACCATTTTTGTATGGTATTGTGATCGTCTTTTTGCCATCCTCATACGTGTCATTCTCTAGTTTTACCCTCTTTTTATATTATTTCTGATAAATTCTTTTGAGTAGTTGTTGTCGAGTAACATTTTGAATAAGACGTTTATTTCTTTACGCTGGCTCTCTGGTGTTGTTGTAAGTCTACGTATTCTATCTGCAAGACCTTGTATTAATCCTCGTTTTACCATGAGTCGATAGGGCTGAGTGATAATGTGTTCTTTCTATACAGCGTCGTTTTTATCCTACCTACCATCTGTTACTCTTTGCATTTTGCAGTCTAACACAGCCAGTTCCTCAATTTCATTCTCCACTTCCATATTGTGAATTCCATTCAGTTGACATGACTGTTTATGTGTGTAAGAAGAATTTCTCAACATTGTTCCCTGTCATTATAACTAACGTGTCGTCTAAATATCTCCACCAACATTTTATTGATGACATGAATGGTTTAGGTGCATTTTTTTCGCGAAAATCCATGAATATGTCAGCTATTATTGATGAGATGGGCAATCCCATGGCTACTCCTCCTTCATTTTGTTGATATATTCTTCCTTCAAATTTAAAATATGTTCTTGTGAGACGTAATTCAACCTCTTTTATTATCCCTTCTACGGATAATTGTGTCCTGTCTTTCAAGTCATTCTTCTCGTCTAGTTTCGTTTTTGGTGCATCCATAACCATCTGAATCGGTATTTTTATTATAGAGACTGTTTACATCAAAGCTGACTAGTATTTCCTCTTCGTCTATTCTAGTGTTTTTTTACCTTATACTAACTCAAATGAATCTACTATTCTAACATTTGAATTGTCTCTTGATGGTGTTAGTATTACAGAGAGAAATCTTCACAGCATAAACGTCGGTGTGTTTGTTAAACTTAACAATGGCAAAATTTGATTTCAGGATTCGACACACACACAACAACAAAGTTCAGTGATCCGTAAACCCAGTCAACCGGTGGATGCGTTTGTATTGAATTCGGAATTTGTAAATTATGCGGGTTTAGCTAAAATTTCACCACAGTTTCGTTAGCAGACCAAATATTTGGTTACAGGATTTCATCATGAGCTGACATTGTTTATAGAACTATTGGAAAACTTGGGAATATGTGACAGCTGTTTCGTCCTAGTTCGCGACTCTTCATCAGTACGCACCCACCGGGGTCCGAACAATATTGGATACTGTGAATAGTAATAAAAGGAAAGCAAACTTGACGCGCTTTCCGATTAGTGCTCTACATTTGCCAGGTTACATAAAACTCATTTCTCTGGTGTTTCTTGTCAGGAAGTTGTGGTATTTATTGTAATTCGTTTACCTTAGAACACAACCTGTGGATATAATCTTGTTGCATACTGATACCTATAACTAACTGTTTGGCAATTTTTAAGACTAAATAATATCTATAATTGCATATATCAATGGATTTACATGCCCAAGTTGACCCAAGTCATTGAGTATGTGGTTTTGATACCATTTTTATTAACTGTATTTAACAGTGATACTACTGCAACGATTTTTTGTTCTTATACTCACTGCCTTTCCTGTTGTGATTTTCTTCATTCCTTTTGCTGGTGTTGTTCTGATTGCTTTATTCCTTGTTTTCCTGATTCTAAAGCGAGCAACCCAAGAACCATAGGAGCAGAGACACAGCCAGGTGAAAACGTTGGCAAAGAACGGAATGCAATGGAGACTTGCCTGTGAAGCCCTATGTTCCTCTAGGAACTAAAGGAAACAGTTGTTGTTCCCTTGGGTTCCTAGTGGAACATAGCGCTTCAACTGCACGTCTCCACTTTCCTCTGTCTTCTGCTGTATATTACATCACCTGCATCCAGGTCAGTCCATACTGTTTCAACTCCTCTGTCTTCACACGATCTCCTCCATGTCACCCATGCACTGGCGACCACGTCCCACTTGCCACTTCCCTTTAGGGTTCCACTCCAGGACGTAACAGGCGATGTCACTCAGCAGTCTCCTCAGGGAGAGTCCAATCCATCTCCAGTTTCTCCTGCATATTTGTTTGTTGGCGATTGGTTCTTGTTTGTTCCCATAGTCTCTTGTTGGTGATTCTTCCCGGCCCAGCCATCTGATCTTCAGCATAGAGTGAAGACAGCTAGCTGTTGATAAAGGTCTGCGACCGGCTGTTGGAAATATTCTTTGTGACCCGCCCACCTAGTTTCTGACCCGTATAGAAGAACTGACTGACTTGACGTTTGTATTGAAAATCCCACCGAATGCTGTTGTTGATGCTGGCTGAGTGACGAAGATTTCCAGATCGGTTTCAGGTTGATGAATGTATTTCTCGCCTTCCTGATTCTCGCTCGATTTGGCATCCTCGTCCGTTCCGACTACCTGTAGTTGAGGCAATGCTCCCTAGATAAGTGAGTGAATGAAGTAACCTCTTTCAAATCCCTTCGGTTGATGGTGATTTGCGCTGGATGTTGCTGCTGTTGTTGTTCTTGTTGGCTGGTTATTTTCATAACCTCCGTCTTGTCTACGTTCACATGGAGCCCTGTCTTCGCTGGCTGCTTCTTCAACCAGTTTGTCGGTTTTCTCTTGTAAGTCTTCGATCATCATCCGTGAAATCCAGGTCTTCTAGGTTCTTCACGTCGGTCCAGGATATCCCTGTGTGCTCGTTTCCCACTGTCTGACGCATAATCCAGTCCATCACAATTAGGAATATCATTGGTGATAATAAGCCAGCACCTCTTGTGTTTACTCTAAACGCCTCGCTGAGTTTTCCACTGTGGATGACTTGACATGTGCCGTTGTCGTACAGCTGTTGAATAAGGTTGATGAATGTTTGAGGTATGCCGTAGTACTCGAGTAGTTTCCAAATTACTTCACGGTCAACGCTACGCTGTCGAAGGCCTTCTCGAAGTCTATAAAGTTGAGGTAGGGAGAGGTTTGATTGCCATTCCATGCTTTGTTCTGTGATGATAACGCGTAGAGTTTCAATTTGGTCAGAACATGATTTGCCTGACTTTCCTGAACCCAGTTTGTTCTGGTCGGAGTTCTGTCTCCAGTGCGTCCTTTATTCCCTTCAGAATGATGCTACTCAGGATTTTGCTTGGCGTCGACAGCAGCATGATTCCTCGCCAGTTCTTCCAGAGTCCTTAGTCGCCCTTCTTTAGTAGTTTCACGAGGTAACCTTTCCTCCGGTCAGTAGGCACCTTTCCCTCCTTCCAGACCTTTTGCAATAATGGAGTCAGCATGTCTGCTGTCGTCTCTGCGTCTACTTTCGGTGAGTGCTTCAGGGGGTATTCCATCTGGTCCAGCTGCTTTTCCAGCTTCCAGAAGCTTGATTGCATTCAAAACTTCAGCTTTCGTTGGAGGATTGGTGTCGACTTTCAGTTGTGTACGCGCTGTTGTTGGTATTTCTGGACGGGTTGCGGGTGATGGTCGGTTCAAGAGTCCTTTGAAGAGATCCGATCATTGTTTAATCTGTCTTTCTTCCTTGGTAATTGGGTTCTCTTGGCTGTCTTTTATAGGTTTCGCTTGTGTTGATCTCTTCCCGGATAGAGACTTGGTTATCTGATATAATGTCCTCAGGCCCCTTTTGCCTGCTGCCTTCTCAGCTTCAGTGGTAGTAGAATTGTCTTTTGTTCTTCCTAGCACTCTTCTTCACTTCTTTCTCCATTGCTGTGTACGTTGAGCACAGCGTCTCTTTCTCTTATACGTCTTTGTGTTGAATCATTTTCCCTTTCACCATTCTCCTCTCTTCTATTAGTTTCCAAGTGTCCGTTGAGAGCCATTCTTTGTCTTGTCTCTTCTTTCCTCCTAAAACCGTTGAACACGTTTCCTTGAAAATCATCTTCAGAGAGTTCCAGTGGTCTTCCAAGCATGATTCTTCAGTGATGTCGCGTAGTGTTTCCTGCTTTGCTCTGACAGTTGCAGTGAAAGTGTTTTTTGTGGTTGTGTCCTTCAGTAATTGAGTGTTGAACTTGCATTGTGGCCTATCCCCAGCTGTCCTCGAGGCTCTTAGCTTCACCTTGAAAGTTCCTTGTACCACAGTTACCACTGAGTTATTTGGGCTTGCGATTGGCCTCCTGCAGGACTGCATTGGATACTTTTGATTGGGCCTTAGTTGGTAACTAATGTAATGTGTCTAGTCCTTTGTTTGCTGCAGACTAAATTCTATCAGTCAAGTTCTCTATGTGGCCACCATGACACTAGGTGACTCGTCATCATGGTACGAACTAGCTAAACACATATCTGTGTTCGACAGGTGTGCTCACACTGAAGAAGCTTGGAAAAATATCCAGGCAGCCATAGATACAGCTGTAAAAGCTGTCAATAAGGTAAATCCAATGGTGAGTAAAAACAACTGGATCTCTACCTCCTCATCCGAACTGACAGATGTTAGAAGACTTATTCCGGCGAGCTCCAAATTCAATGAAGAGCGAAAGCTGCATAAGAGGAAACTTACGAAAAGTCTCCGCAAGGACCGTGAACAGTGGTGGGTGACAAAAGCCAAAGAGATGGAGAAAGCTTCGAGGATAGGCAACACCAGGCAACTGTTTAGACTCATCAGGGAAACAGGTGGGAGAAGACAAATAATTAGTGAAACAATCTCGGAAAAAAATGGCACTATAATTAGCCCCCAGGATAGACGACTGGATCCCTGGAAAGAGCATTATGAGGAGCAGTTTAATTGGGCCAAAACCACGCTCAACCTGCCAAAATCCAACACCTCCCTCAATGGGATATAGACACAGCTCCTCCATCCCTAACTGAGGTTACTAAAGCTGTCACCAATCTGAAACTAGGCAAAGCAGCGGGACCTGATGGAATGACTCCAGAGGTATTTAAGTACGGTGGAGACAGCTTACTGTTTGCATTAACTGAGATTCTAGGATGCGTCCGGGAATCATAGGAAGTTCCATCGGGTTGGTGTAAGTCACTGATTATCCCCATATACAAGAAGGGAGACAAGTCTTCCTGTGATAATCACAGAGGGATTAGCTTGACTAATATAGTATCTAAAGTCTTAGGCTCAATAATCATGCGTAGACTAAGTGGTGCTCGGGAGGCACAAGCACGAGAGAGCCAAGCAGGCTTTAAACCAGGAAGAGGGTGTATTGATCATATCTTCACCCTCCGACAGATTCTAGAACATAGGAATTCCTACCGGCGTCCAACAGTCATTATATTTCTTGACCTAAAGGCAGCATTCGACTCTGTCAATCGAGAAGTTCTCTGGAGATGCTTGGCTGTAAAGGGAATGCCGAGAAAATATATTGCACTGATTAAGGAACTCTACTCGTACTCATACAGCCAGGTGAGGGCTTACGGCGAGCTGTCATCTGAACTGGTGACGACCAGTGGTGTCCGTCGAGGATGCCCATTATCCCCATTTCTATTCAACTTCATCATAGATGCACTGACGGGCTTAACCCTAACTCATTTCAGCGACTCAGGGATTGACTTACTTCCAGGGAATAATCTCGTTGACTTGGAATATGCAGACGATATGGTCCTTCTAAGCGAAGACGCTGACAAAGAGAAGAGTCTTCTAAACACCTTGAGCTGCAATCTACGAATGTTTGGCATGTGATTCGCTCCCGCCAAATGCAAGATGATGTTACAGGACTGGACTACATTGACGCCTAGTTTAAAAATAGGAAGTGAAGTGGTAGAGCACGTTGACCGCTTCACTTATTTGGGAAGTACCATCAGCCAGCGCCAACGGGTTGATCTCTAACGAAATCTCGGCACGGATACAGAGGGCTAATTTCGCATTAGACAGTTTACGCGGTCTCTGGCGTAGACGTGATATTCGACTATCGACCAAAGGGCGGGTGTACTGCTCATCAGTCCACTCCGTCCTCCTTTATGGCTGTGAGACCTGGCCACTGAGAGTGGAAGACATGAAAAGACTAGCTGTCTTTGATCATAGGTGCCTGCGCTCTATTTCCCGTGTAAAGTGGCATAATAAGGTGAGCAACATTGAGGTTAGGCGTAGAGTTCTAGGTAAACAGGGGAAATCAATCGACGAAGTCGTGAAGTTACAAAGACTGAGATGGTTAGGACATGTGTTACGTATGCCAAGTCATCGCCTCCCTCGACGAGCTATGTTAGCGGATATAGGGTCAGGCTGGAAAAAAGCTAGCGGCGGTCAAACAAAAACTTGGCCTTAGCAGTCAATGAAATCCACAATAGTTGGTCTAAGCCACGTAGGAAGGTGTAGACTTCCTGACTGGTTGGGGTCCTCGGGACGGTAAAAATCTATGGTTGGAAACAATTGGTGACATGGCTCAAAATCGTTCTCAATGGCTGGTGCAGATGCATCCACTCCTTGTGACTTATGATCTCCAATGAAACTGTTTTGTTCTTCGTTATTACTCTTCCTTTGTCTCACACCTCTGCTCACTGTTTCTATTATGCTTTTCTTGTACTTTCTTCTCTTGCTTCGCGTGCTACACGGAGTGTGGCGACTTGAACTTCCGCACATTTGTGCAAAGTTCTATGTCGAAAACAGATAGACAGACATCATGGTGCGCTGTGAACTGGAGGTTGGTTGAAGGCAATCGACAGGAAGCCTTGGATCTACATATGATGCTATATACGACTGATTCATCAAACAACCAGAATTTGAGTGACTTTAAACTGATTCAGCTTTCTGTACGGAGTCACCTCGAGTACAACACTGCTGTTTCTGTTACTGAGCTCGGCCAAGAAGGTGCCACCAAGCAACCACTGGATGTTCAGATCACCTTAATCCGGAGTGAGGAATTTCTTAATACACCAAACATTTGCTAAAAAACAGTAACGAAATGTCGTAAAACTGCTTAAAATTTCAATATAATGCAATAGAAGGAAATCTATTAACATGCAGTCAAATGGGCATCATTATTTAGTTACAAGTTTTCGGAGAAATCCCCAGCCAACTCAATCCTAAACCTCATGAAGCCAGGTGACAAGGAGGGGGCGGGTTGAACGTGAGACTAGCAACTCTTTCCCGTAAACAACACCACAATTACTGGCAAAACTTCAAATTTTGAAGCTGATATCCTCAACTGGGGACAAAAGACTTTCAGAAAAACGACTAATGCTTTTGGTAGAACCATGAACAGAAGATAATCACTCTTTCAAACAGAAACACACAATGCATATCATCATGAAAACGAGAAAAAAACAGAAACAATTAAATAACAAATATGCATACCGTTATGCACAGACTTTTTATGTTCTCTCACACTGACTGCTTTAGTGAATGGACGTTCGCATATATCACATCTAAATGGTAATCCTGTGTAACAAAAATAACAATAATAATAATGATCACTAATGGAATGTATACGCTGTAGTTTTAAATTATTCAAAATGTTCACGTGTTAAGTTTGTTTAAATTTTTGGATTAATGAATGTAGCGCGAGATTTGAAACTATTGATTCTTTAGTATATTTTCAAGTATTGGTTATATATATATATATATATATATATATATATAACGTTTTCTGAAAGATTTGTTGGCTGATTTCATCATAGGCTGACATAAGTTAGAGAACCATTGGAAAACCTAGAAGTAATGGACAACTACTTCCTTCACCCTGGTTCGGGACTATTCAGCAGTAGGCACACACCGACATGGTACGAACTGAGGACCTTTGGGTTACAAGGCGAGCTCGTAGACCATTCAGTCACTGGGACTCAATCCAATGGCTAACCCATAAATTCTAGCTTCTGCCAAATCGTCATCTGATACTCACTAGCGACTGGCGCTAATTAGGCAGCGACTTAGGGTTCTAGTAGGAAGCCGTAACCTGACCAGTAGGCTACAGCAGGTTCAAGTAGAGGCAGTAACTCATCCCAGAAGACATTGAGAAGTGGTCGCGCGATGTCACGAATCGGCAGAAGTTAGGATTCATGGGTCACTGGACCGGGGTCCCAGTGAATGAGTGGTGTACGAATTCGCCTTATCACCAGACGGTCCCAGGTTAAAACCATGTCGGCGGGTGCGTTCTGCTGTAGAGTCCCGAGCTGGGACGAAGAAATCAGTTGTCCAGTACTCCTAGATTTTCCAATAGTTCTCTAACTGATGTCACCTAATGAAGAAACTCTCCAACAAATCAAACAACCAAAATCCATACAAAACCGATACTGGAAAAATATCTGATAGAATACAAACAGATTTCGTAGACAGCTTAAGTAAAAGAGAGATTTCAGCCTTCAACTTTGCAAAAAAATGTAAGTCCAGAACTTCAAATCGCCAGGCTTCATAAACGTAAATTAAAGGACCTATAATAGACAGGAATGTGTGATTAACAGAGATTTAATTATTCTAGGAGTTTATAAGGAGTAATTGGAGCTGAGAAACTGAAAACAATTCTGAGCTACATCACCAAGAGTCTCCAGTCAAAAATACTGAAAAGAAAACAGAGGTTCAGCGAAGAGTTACTCCAATTTTCGGCGATATTATTTTCCAGCTGCAATTATATATATTATATATATATATATATATATATATATATATATATATATATATATATATATATATATATATATATATATATGTCATTAGGATAACAAATTCGAGACAATAAAATTAATTAGTGGGTCAGAAACCAAAATAAGATTAAATAAGCAAGTTGGGTGAGGTCAGTCTGTTTTCGACATAGAACTTTGCACCGATGTGCAACAGTTAAAGTCGCCACACTCATTCCATGTAGCACACAGAGCAAGAGAAGTAATTAAAAAGAAACGCAAATTAGACACACTAATTAGAGATATAAGGCAAAAAGAATGGTAATATCGAAAAACAATATAGTTTCATTGTATATCATAAATCACAAAGAGTGGATGCATCTCCGCCAGTCATTGAGAACGATCACTTTGAGCCATATCACCAATTGTCTACAGCCTTCATTACTTTTCACCGTCCCGAGGACCCAAACCAGTCAGTCAGGAAGTCTACACCTTCCTACGTCACTGGCTTAAACTAACTGTTGTGGATTTCATTGACTGATTGATGATGTCGTGTTTTCGTTTGACTACCACTGGCTCTTTTCCAACCTGACCTATATCAGCTAACATTGCCCATTGTCGAAGAATGTGATGGCTAGGCATACGTAACACATATTCTAACCATCTCAAACGATGCTACTTTACAGCCTCGTCTGTTGATTTTCCACCTCACTTACCTAGCACTGGACCCATGCCTCACCTCAATATTGCTCACTTTATTATACCACTTCACACGGGAGATAGAGCACAGATACCTATGATCAAAGACAACCAATCTTGTCATGTCTTCCACTCTCAATGGCCAGGTCTCACCCGCTGATATAAAGGAGGACGGAGCGGACTCCTAAGCAGTGCACACGTCCTTTGGTTTACAGTCAGCTGGATATCACGTCTACGTTAGAAACGGTGTAAACTGGCATATGCGAAACTATCCCTCTGTATCCGTGCTGAGATTTCGTCAGCGATCAATCCGTTGGCACTGGCTGATGGTCCTTCCCAAATAAGTGAAGTGGTCAAAACGCTCCACCAAACCCTTAGCTCCCTATTTGCAAACTGTGAGTCAGTGTAGTCCAGTCCTGTAACATCATCTTGCATTTGGGAGGAGCGAATAGCATGCCGAATATTCGTAGATTGCAGCTCAAGATGTTGAGAAGATTCTGCTCTGTTCTGTCAGCGTCCTCGCCTAGAACGATTATATCGTCTGCATATTCCAAGTTAACGAGATTATTCCCTGATAGCAAGTCGATGCCTGAGTCTCTGAAGTGAGATATGAACCTATTGCACCGTGCACAGCAGTCAGATATGTTATTATGGAGCTATTCTAGCTCGAGATCGACCTCGTCTAGGACTATATTGGATATTTTCAGTTACACATTAGTTAGTAACTACTACCATGCGTCTAGTGACATGGGTTCGAATCTCAGGAATGGATATGACTTATTTCAAGATTGCAGATACTCTTTGCTGACTGGTGAGTGCTAACAAACAGGAAACTTCTACCCAAGGCTTTTAATCATCGAATCAGAATTATTTAAAGACGCAGTATTAGTACTTGGTGAAACTGATCTACCTGATGAAGAAGACTACACACATGAATGATGAAGAAACCGATTATAGTCAGTACACACACATGTGATCACATTTGCTTGTTTTAAAAATTAATGGAAATGTCAAAAAAGAGAAAGAAACAAAACGAAATAGAAGTAGTAGTTACCTTCATGAACAACTTTAATATGTTCTCTGAGTTTAGATTTACCATTGAACTTTCTGTCACACTGATCACAGGAAAAATTCTTGCCTAATGAACAGTTTTCAAAATAGAAGAACATTTATAATAACAACAGTAATAATATTCAAATAGAGGGTACATAGAATAACTGTATCATAACGAAGAGGAGAAAAATCATAAGGTAGTGTTTACCATTGAATTCAATTTAGATTTCCCCATCGATTGACAGGATCGAAGTGCTTGGTCTCAGGTCGACATGACGGCTCCTTGTGCAGAAACTTAGACGATGTCTGGTTGTGTAACTTGAAGTCAGTTGGTTGATAGTGACTAGCAGTGGAATCCAGGATAAAGCACAATCCGTCCTAATTGGGGACTGACTCGTCAACTAGATGTACCTGCATTTCCCAGTGAGTAATGGTGTTACCATCTAGGCTCGAACCCAGTGCATATAGTCTCAAACGCCAAAGCATTATCTACTAGACCACTTTGGCCACGATAACCACCTTTTGTGCGACCGGTCTTGTTAATTATTGAATTTAGATTTTCTCTTCGATTGTTTGGACCGAAATGGTCGGTCACAGGTTGGCGATTTCCGAATAGGACGGAATGTACATCCTGGATTCCAATGATCCATGTAAAAAACTGTGGACTGAAATTTCGGCCCTCATCTGAATCATATAATCTTAATTTTTGCTTTACTGATAAGACATAACACAGTTCGCATACATTAAAAATATTAATTATTGGCCACGCAAAAGAACTACAGATTCCCGGGCATTTCTGCTTTCTCCTGGAGGAATAATCACTGCCATTTCAGTTCGTCTTCTCTACATGTTCTTTAGACCTTAGTTATTACTAACAAACAATATGTTGAAGTAATGTAGATGAATAAAACCAGTCTTTAAATGTTGATTTGCAGCGATACGATTGGTTGCATACCACAGGCAAATGACCTTGAACCAACCAATCAGATCACTCAGCACTACAATTTAATGCTTTTCATTATCTTCACTGCAAGTTTCACTCTGATTCAAGGGATTAGGGTAGTGTTAACATAGGGTTGGGCTTATGGTTAAGGTTAGTGTGAAACTTGTGACGATGATTATGAGTAACATCTATTCGAAATACTGAGCAATGTAACCATCGTTATCAGTGGATCTCGTAACTGGCACTCATATATATTTTGGTGTGTTTAGCATAGTCGCTCCTAGGGAAAAATAAGGCCACTTTTTGCAGCATATTAGAGACACATACCCTTTCATTTTCTTCATATATAATATATATATATATATATATAATATACATATATATATATATATATATATATATATATCCACTAAACAATATTTTTATACTATAAATACCACTTTTTATCAAACATCTCATGATTGGATGATTCAAGGTCATTTGACTATGATATCCATTCTTAGCTGTTGCCTATTACATCATTTGAGAATTAATGCAATGCCCATTGGTGACTGAATCATGGATGAAATCACTGGAGTTTAAGAAAGACATTTTGACCTATGTGATTCAACAGCTCGGTGATGATGTACATCACAAACTGACAAGAGTTAGAACTCATCGTGATTGCATTCCACGACAGTCGATTACGGGTCAATGACCTTTCCTCGCAAAATGAAGACCTGAAGGGATGATCATGGGTGCGCACTGCAAATTGAACAGCCTCAAACTAGGTGAAAACAACTGTCTAGTACACCGTCGTTTTCCATGATTCCATAACTAACATCAATCCGGGAATTAACTTGAAAAGAAGTCTTCCCAAACTCAAAAACAAGCCAATTCGAAGGAGTCCTGAATCAAGGCATAATACAGTTATTTCAAACTGAAAAAAAACATGATTAAAAGAAAAGACATTTGAAGGGAGACCGATTTGTTTGAGGTTTGTTCACGGATTGATATCAGTGCGAGAACCATTATTGAAAACAAGCCTTCAACTACTGGGCAGCTGTTTCGTCAGCCTAGTTTCAAACTCACCAGAAGTATGCACTCACCTATCTCCCCACCCTGGTTCTAACCCAGAACCTTCCAGCTACACAGTGAGCTCGTAGACCACTCGGTCGCTGCGACCCAACATACATCACCCGTCTTAATGGGGTTTATTATCATTCCAAACTTATAAGAATTCTCAGTTAATGGAAAGGTACCACCTGGCTTTGACTATCTAATTTCATCTGTGGTAGTTAACGTTGAAAAAGTGTCAGTTGTAGCATTGAATTTTATCAATGCATTCAAACAGATTCACTTCTTTTCGCTAGAGCTCTCTACTTCGTCCAATTATAGTGTCATATAGACGCTGTTTACATATACATAGAATCATATTTACAAAAAGTATTTGATAAACAAATTTAAAAAATAGTCAATCAAAAGCACCTTCATGAATAGTCTTAATGTGTCGATAACGTGCAGTTCTTGTTGAAAATTTTTTATCGCATAAATCACACGTAAGTTTCATTCCTGTTAAAATAAAGAATAAATAAGTGGTAATGAGATAATCAATAAATACAGTAATGGTATTATCGATTACAACCACAGCTGGGTCTACCACTAGTGGTTAATGCAATGACATCAGTCAGGGTTCTAAAGGTCAGTTGGTAGATCTTTGGATTAATAGTAATTTACAAGCTAGAGGTTTTTTATTTTTCATTTACAGCTTGATTCCACACTGTATTTTTGGTACAAGTATGGAATTTTCACCATGGATATCGGTAGCCCAAATTTTGCAGGCCGACCATAGATATCAGGTGTGCGTCGGCAGGGTATTGAACCCCGGACCATGAGCATGGTCGGCGAAAGTCCTAACCACTGTGCCTTCAAATCATCACAAATGAAGTCTAATTATCAAAATTGCCTCAAATCCATGTGTGCACTACTTTTTTATATCGTTAAGTTGTAACGACGGGAGACAAGGGCCAAGCAATAGATCTTTTATTGAGAAAATATATATATATATACACATTATAATTTGTTACTATTAGCGGAGAAACAGCGTCTTCCGACTGGTTGTTTCCTCGCTGAAGGTTATTCTGCCATCTCCTTGCGACCGCTTCTTTCAAGGTTAGATAATATTTCTGCGAAACGCATCCGCCCACGCAGTCTGCTGTTATTAGTTGTCGAGTAAGTCTTTGTTTGTGTTTTCTTCTCATGACCAAGTTCTGGGACGTAAATTGCTGTCTACCAATTTTGGCTAGCAGACAGCTCTCACCACAAAGTAAGTGATTAACCAGAAGTGACTATTAGCGCAACAAAGTCTTCCATTTGACTTGTAATCCACGACATTTTCTATTCTGATGAAGAAATCCAACGACAGGGAGATTTATCAGCTTCGTGGAGACTTGCACACAGCCTACAAAAATTGTAGTGAAGTGTCTTGAATAAGTTCTCAGTAATTCTGTTGACGAGAAAATGTCATGGTTATGACCAGGATAATTGTGAGGGTAAACTTGAAGGTGAGATTTTTTTCTCTTCATTTCGTTGGTCAACATAGTCGCCATACAAAGTGACATGTTATATATTGATTGTATCAACTAATGTGCACCCAGAATCAAGATTGGTATTCAATCTTAAGATAAGATAAGATAAGATAATAGCTTTATTCCAAATCAGTACTTGTGATACAGAATGGAATTCTCAGCATTTTTACTACAATATTGCATCCAGTTAGTACGTTAACAATAAATAAAGTTCTACATAGATTAAAGTTATCTCAGTCAGTTTTGACAACAACATATTAGCATGTCGGTAGCAAAGCCAAAATTTAAAGTGTTTGAAGGTGTTAGAAAAGTAGATACTACTAGCATATTTACTGGCGTAAGCGATAGCAAAATGGTCGAGATATACAGAGTGTGAAAGAACGAACGAACGAATCTTCCACAGGACTGCACTACATTGACGTCTAGCTTAGAAATAGGAAGTGAATTGGTTGGTGGAGCGTTTTAAACACTTCACTTATTTGGGAAGGACCATCAGCCAGTGCCAATGGATTGATCGCTGACGAAATCTCAGCACGGATACAGAGGGATAGTTTCGCATATGCCAGTTTACACCGTTTCTAACGTAGACGTGATATCCAGCTGACTGTAAACCAAAGGACGTGTGCACTGCTTAGGAGTCCGCTCCGTCCTCCTTTATATCAGCGGGTGATACCTGGCCATTGAGAGTGGAAGACATGACAAGATTGGTTGTCTTTGATCATAGGTATCTGTGCTCTATCTCCCGTGTGAAGTGGTATAATAAAGTGAGCAATATTGAGGTGAGGCATCGGTCCAGTGCTAGGTAAGTGAGGTGAATTAAAGCAATGAACTCTCACTGAAACTCAACGCGCGCTACTGAAAATGATTCCAAGCAATATTGATCCCTCAAGCAACTTATTTCCTTCCTACCTTACTTTTATTTTTATACATAGTTTCCTGTATTTTACCTTTGCTAACCTTGGCTTCTTAACCTTCGACAGCCTTTCGCCTTTGTCGAGATTCCCAGCCTATCCGTGTCGTTTCGAGATGTTAGTGAGTAGTCCTCAAAATGGTTGTTCCCAATGTGACATCTAACACAGATATCCTGAAACCGCGTGCTGCGTTCAAGCTGGCTACCTACAATGTTCGGACGCTGATGCAAATCGGACAACAGGCAGGGTTGGCAAGAACTTTGGAAAGCCTCGCTATCGATGTCTGCTGCATTTCGGAGACCCGCATTCAAGATCCCAGTGAAGTGCTTCGACTATCCTCTCCATCTGGAAGTTCTAGTAGTATGTACCACCTGCGCTTATCCGGGGACCCTGTGGCGTCGGCATCCGGCGTAGCTGGTGTCGGTGTCGCACTGAGCGCTAGAGCCGAAGCTGCACTGCTCGACTGGATTCCCATTAACAGTCGTTTATGTGCTGTGAGGCTGGAAGGTTATACGAAAGTAAGGAGTAGTAGGCCAGATAGGCGGTGTCTATTTGTTGTCTCTGCCTATGCACCGACGGATTGCAGCCCGGATGCAATGAAGGATGAGTTTTACTACCAACTGAGCGATCTCTTGAAACAGGCGGGTCGGAGGGATATCGTAGTGCTGGCTGGGGACTTGAATGCACAGGTGGGGCGTCTAAGCTCAGAGGAGAATCGTCTAGGTGGTCAGTGGGGACTACATGGTCGCAGGTCAGATAATGGGGACCGTCTTCTGCAGCTTTGCGCGGATCACAACCTATTTCTAGCTAGCACCAACTTCCGGCACAGCCATCGCCGTAGCGCTACCTGGCGTCCTCCCTCTGCGAAGCAAGCTTGGACTCAGATTGATCATATCGCGGTCAGTTTCCGGTGGCGAGGATGCATACAAGACTGTCGCTCCTTCTGGAGCACATGCCTGGACTCCGATCATGCGTTAGTGTGTGCCAAGTTCGTCTTGCGATTTGGTGGGGTTCGTAAAAGCCGTCGTCTAAGCGTTGATGTGAGCAAACTAGTAGCACCTGCTACTTCTTTGAAATATCAGAATGAGTTAAAAACAATGCTTGCCAGCAACCCCCCAAGTAGTATAGATGAACATTGGCTTCATGTGCAAGGTGCCATGCAAAAGGCGAGTGTAGCCGCTTGCGGCTTGAAAGAATGCTCCGCTAACAACCACTGGGTTTCTGCGAGTTCCTTGCAACTCATGGATGAACGCCGGTCCATTCCGGCTGGCAGCGAATACAACAATCAGCGAAAGGCGCTCACGCGCAAGATTAGACAGTGTTTACGTAAGGACCGCGAAGCCTGGTGGTCAGAACGTGCGTGTGAGATGGAGTCAGCTGCTGCATCTGGCAACAGTCGGAAGCTGTTCCAACTCATACGAGCCACCGGCAGCAAGAAACAAGGTGTCAGCGAGACGGTCTGTGAGGCAGATGGCACTCCAATTACCAGCCTGAAAAGACGCCTGGAACGCTGGGCAGAGCACTTCGGGAAGCAGTTCAGCTGGCCACCAGCTTCAGTGTCTACTATCATTAGCCCGAGTGCTCCTTGGTCGGTTAGTACCGACCCACCCACCGAAGCGGAGGTCCGTAAGGAACTCCATAAGGCGCCCGGCCCAGACAAATTACCCCCGGCTCTTTTTAAAGATGGTGGCGAGACTCTCACAATGGCTCTAACTGGGTTGTTCAGGAAGGTGTGGGAGACAGAGAGTGTACCATCAATGTGGAACGAAGCCATTATCGTCCCCATCTTTAAAAAGGGTCGACGTAATTCGTGTGACAATCATAGGGGTATCAGTCTGTTACCAGTCGCGTCTAAAATATTGGCTGCTGTCTTGCTTCGCAGACTGTGCAAAATACGTGAAGGATTGATTCGCGAAGAGCAGGCTGGGTTTCGTTCAGGTCGTGGATGCATTGATCATGTGTTCACCCTTCGTCAGTTGTTGGAACACCGCCACACGTATTGCAGGCCAACGATCGTTGTGTTTCTTGATATTAGGGCTGCCTTCGATTCGTTGGACAGAACTGTGCTCTGGAACTGTCTGTTAGAGAGAGGTGTACCTGAGAAATTTGTTAACATCCTGAAAGCCCTATACAGAAACACCTCAGGTAGAGTGAGGGCATACAACCAACTATCACCACTGTTCCCAACCAACAGTGGGGTTAGACAGGGTTGCCCAATCTCTCCATTTCTCTTTAACTTTGCCATCGATGACATTCTGGAGTCAGCTCTGAAGGATGTGCGTGAAGGTGGTGTAGATCTGCTACCTGGAGATAGACTTTTCGACCTCGAGTATGCAGACGATATCGTCTTACTGTGCGATAGCATGCAGGCTGCCCAAATCGCACTTAATCAGTTGGCGATCAGTGTCTGTAAGTATGGTATGTGCTTTGCGCCGTCTAAGTGCAAAGTACTGTTACAAGATTGGCAGGAGCCTGTACCTGCACTCACTCTTGCGGGTGAACCGCTTGAAGTTGTTGATAAGTTTGTGTACCTGGGTAGTTGTGTGAGTGCTGGCGGAGGGGTGACGGATGAGATTTCCAACCGTATAATGAAGGCTAGGGTGGCATACATCAACTTGAGCCACCTCTGGCGCCGTCGCGACGTTAGCCTGGCTGTCAAAGGTCGGGTATACAATGCTTCGGTGCGGGCTGCCTGCTCTACGCCTGTGAAACCTGGCCTCTCCGAGCTGAGGATGTGCGGCGACTCTGCGTGTTCGATCACCGCTGTCTCCGCAGGATTGCTTGCGTTCGATGGCATCATCGCGTGAGTAATTCTGAGGTTCGGCGGCGTGTGTTTGAACACAGTGGAGATCACCATTCATTGAATGTCGTCATCTGGAAACACCGGCTCCGGTGGCTTGGACATGTGCTCCGAATGTCACCCCAGAGGCTTCCGTACAGGTCTCTGTTCGCTAGCCCTGGGACGGGATGGAAAAGGCGGAGAGGTGGTCAGTCCATGACGTGGCGTCGTGGGATGAAGGATTTTTGTGCTAGATTAGCATCGGTTGGTGTGTCACGACTCCCTGGTTGGGGTCCGAGAGATAGCTCAAATCGATGGCTCGAAACGTTATCGGATATGGCCAAGAATCGTCATCAATGGCGAATGTGTTGCAATTTCCTTCTTTCTTCCCTTCCCGATGATAGTTAACGAACACTGTTTGAACTTGTTAAGCATGACTGTTTTCCTTCCAGATGAAGTTCTTTATCCGTTCTCTACATATATATTTTTTTTCCTTCTTTTCTTTTCTTTTTGATCTATGTTGTTTTATTATTATTGTGTGGCGCATTTTTCTTGGTGCCATATTGTACCAAGTTTTTTATGCGTTTAAATAATAAGCGAGGTGGAAAATCAACAGACGAGGCTGTAAAGTAGCATCGTTTGAGATGGTTAGAATATGTGTGACGTATGCCTAGCCATCACATTCTTCGACAATGGGCAATGTTAGCTGATATAGGGTCAGGTTGGAAAAGAGCCAGTGGTAGTCAAACGAAAACACGGCTTCATCAATCAGTCAATGAAATCCACAACAGTTAGTTTAAGCCAGTGATGTAGGAAGGTGTAGACTTCCTGACTGACTGGTTTGGGTCCTCGGGACGGTGAAAAGTAATGAAGGCTGTAGACAATTGGTGATATGGCTCAAAGTGATCGTTCTCAATGACTGGCGGAGATGCATCCACTCTTTGTGATTTATGATATACAATGAAACTATACTGTTTTTCGATATTACTATTCTTTTTGCCTTATATCTCTAATTAGTGTGTCTAATTTGCGTTTCTTTTTAATTACTTCTCTTGCTCTGTGTGCTACATGGAATGAGTGTGGCGACTTTAACTGTTGCACATCGGTGCCAAGTTCTATGTTGAAAGCAGTCAGTCAATCAATTAACAAATGCCTACTCGGCAAACACATAAAGTCAGGCTGATGCCTCTGAAACCGTTATTGTGTTGTTTAACATGATGCGTAAATGATGGAAAACGTACGGCTAAAAGATTATCCTCTGCTGAACAAAAATTAAGTTTCTGAAAACTCGTTACAATAACTGGAGCATTTGGTCGGACAGAGGAGCAGTAGCTGAGTCCAGGGAAAATCAGAAACTATTGGAGTTCAACTAAAGCTACCAAACAGCCAGAAGGTTATTATTAGTGAGACAGAAAGCAAGACAATGAACAATCTTCAAAATATGTAGCTTTGTTGTGTAAAGTATCATGAAACACAATTTACCACACCTAAAAAATCAATATTGACCATAGTGTAGGGGATATTTTCAATTGTTGAGTTGCTTATAATGTTGTCTTTGGAGGCGCATTCTATTCAAGGTAGACAACCTACCGCGCCTCCGACACACACACACAACTCAGTAACAATCCATCATAAGGAAACCCGAATTCCAACTGGCTACTTGACTGCAAATAGTCACCACCTAATACGAGAAGTCGAATGAAGTTATGCTTAGTCAATGATCACTACATTTTTCACTGTACAAGTAAAATATTTTTGAATAACTGCTTTTTTATAATTACAGATAATCATTTAACATTATTCTTCGATGGATAAAGAAACATAAATAAAAATATCGAAATAAGAAATAAACGAACCTGCATGTTTATTATTCACATGTTCCCTTAGGCTAGTCATTTTTACAAATACATTGCCACAAATGTCACATTTAAACGATAAACCTGTAAACAATAATTTAAGACCAGAATTTAAAAGCGTGTTTTTCACAAGGCTATGCAAAAAGGTAAATTTAAACAAAAAAGTTCTTAGAATTATCGATTAGTCCTTCAAGGTAAGATACATACGCATCACATAATTCTAACGAGAGAGAATGCAGGGATGGATGGTAAAAGGCTATTTACCAAATAATGTGCAAGGCGTGACAGAGAAACCGAAATCATCGATGTCCCAATGACAATAAAAACGATCCATTTAATACAGTTTTGCGGTTCCAATCCCCTGAAAAGCATTCGTCTTCTTTACATTTGTAGTTGAGATTATGACTCAATCTGACCTTATATAATTCGAATTCCGATAGAACTATATGCTAAGGTGAATGGTCAGTCGTTTGGAGCACTATATCCTAGGAAGCTGAATCGTTAAGTCGGTTGTTTCCTTCAAGCAGTTACCACGAATACCGTTAACATATAACCGCTGATTGTCATTTTATTCTGTTAAGAGTACCTTAGAACAATTTTGTGTCGATATTTATTGAAACACAACCCCTACAAAGACTATTTTGAAGCAATCGTTTGTGATGACACTACCTCAGATTTTAGTGAGAATTCGCGACCATTTGAGTCCACCACGTCAGATATGAAGACAAATTCATGGATCGATTAAAAAATGGATTGGTTAAATGGTTAACAGACTCGTCTTGTAACCTGAAGTTTGTCGGTTCGATTCTCAATGGAATCATGAGTGCGTGCCAATGAAGGGCACCACACTGGGACGAAACACTATCCGGTACTTCCTGATTCGCTAAATGAAGTCAATTCGAGGTAGAAAAACCTCTGACGATAAGTATCAACCATGATAATGAACTCAACTGTGAAGAGAGGCGCTCATACACGTTTTTGAATACAACACAGGATGTTATTACGAGTGCAGAGAAGGACAGAGAGTGAGGGTGAGAGAGAATGACAGGCTAAAATAATCAATAAATCCTGTGAAGGAGATAAACAAAAAAAAGGAGCAGAAAGACAACTGACTAACCTTCATGAACAACTCGAATGTGTTCATCCAAATGGGATTTTCTGCTAAATCGTCTTTCACATTGATCACAAGACAATTTCATGTCTTTATTGTTATTAAGTGAATGAATGAAAGCAAAGGAGAATTTTAACAAGTTTAAAGTCAGAGCACACTAGATAAATACTTTGACGGGGAAAAATAGTAATGAAAAACAAACATCTGCCTCTCCTTGACACCGGGGTAATAGTTACTCCACATAAGCTAATCAAGGATTACATTCTCAGTTAATATCCATCATCAGTGATAAACGGATAATACTTGATTAGTGTTTTCCTACTGACTTATTAATGGGGAACTAGGAATACCGGTGTTGCTTATTCTCTCGTATAATACTCCAACACATGACAACACAGCATTAACCACTTAAACAGGCTTAATATATTCCTCTGGGAAAAAAGGGAGAATGACCAAAAACTATAGCCATTTTATAATAATAATAATAATGATTTAATTTATTCCAAAAACAGTACTTGTGATACAGAATGGAATTTTCAGCATTAATCACAATATTGCATCTAATTTCTTCAAATTATAAATATAAAATTAATCACAGAGTAAATTCCACATTTACAATAGGGGTAATGTAAAAAACATGCAGCATATAAAATGTAAATGATAATAATGATAACAGCTAAGGTAATAATAACAGTACAAGTGAAAATTGCTGTGAGCTTGTTTCACACAGTATTGTCGATGCGGTATAGAAATCTTAGCTTGTTTAAAAAAATATTGAATATAATGTCCCCTTTACATGATATGGTGAGGGGAAAAACAAAGATTACAGCAGTCACGGAGATAAGTTGATGTTTGCAATTATGAAAGTAAAACTTGAAGGTATATAAGGATGGATGGAGGAAATTGTTTATATACTAGACGAAAAAAGGTTAGTTAATTCTTACCTGACACTATTTTCATCAAATAAAAATACGTGCCACGTATGGTATCATAGAATTTTTATACGTAGACGTGTGAGAATACAGTTTTTTGAAGTTACTTTTTTTCATACATTTATTCCCTTAATGAATTTGAACAAGCAAGAACTACAGTTTTAGCAGAATAAAATGGTACCATCTTTTATTTCGTCGCCTTCTCGTCATCTGCTTACATGTAGATATATTTAATAATGACTTTTCCATGTAAGCAGCTGACGAGAAGGCGACGAAATAAAAGATGGTACCATTTTATTCTGCTAAAACTGTAGTTCTTACTTTATTTTTATTATTAGCTTACACAACGAACAACTTACCAGTGTATAGTACGTGAAACACGAGTTTCGATTAACCAATAACGCACCTATTATAAGGATGATCAGTTTACATAGGAACCATTTATTGTTCTGTTCTAACCGTTAGCAATAGAATATAACTTCCGTTAACACTCTGATTGGCTGGTTTCAACATATAGAACTTTGCAGAGAAGTGCAGCAGTTCCAGTTGCCATTCTCTCTCTCTCTCTCCATGTAGCACACAAAGTAACAGAAGAGACTAAAGACACATTCATAAAACGGAGATAATAAACACAAGTGTGAGACACAAACAATAGAGATTTATTTGATATGACAAACGACGAAGAGTGAATGCATCTGTTCCATTGTAAACGATTTCGGGCCATATCACCAATCGTCTGCAGCCACCATTGGTTCTTACCTTATCGACGATCCCAACCAGACAGACAGACAGTTAGCCTACACCTCCCTACTTGGCTGACTGGCTTAAACTAACTGTTATGGATTCTGTGGACTGATGTCATGTTTTTGCTTGACCACCACCAGCTCTCTTCCAACTTAATCTCATGTCTGTCAGCTAACATTCCCCGTCGAGGGAGGCGATGTCTAGGCTAGGTATGCGTAACACACATCCATCTTCGATTGATTTTCCCTCCAAATCAGCTAGCACTCAACTGACACCTTACCTCAATATCACTCACCCTATTATACCATTTCACACGGGAGATAGAAGGCAGACACCTATGATCAAGGACAGCTAGTCAGGCTTTCCACATCTCCCACTTTAAAATGACCATGTCTCACTCACAGCCAGCCATAAAGGAGGACAAAGCGGAGCGACTGTTGAGCAATACACAGGTCCTTTGGTCGACAGCGAGATATCATATGTACGCTAGAGATGGTGTAGGTGGGCAAATGCCAAACTGTTAACATTCAAGATGCAGAAGATTGTTTCTCTCAGATGGTATGCAAGCCACATATACTACTTTTCCGCGCTCTGAAAACGTAGAGGTTGGAGAAGATTGGCATCAAAAATTATACATTCTAACTTACCTTGTGGTGATCCACATCCGGTGGTAACATCTTAATGCAGACACAACTCCAGGAAAACCACACTTACCCAACCTCAAACAGTTGACCCGTAAGCTCTGCAGTCATGCAACACACACACGCTACTTCTGTTTTGAAGTAACCCAAAAAAAATCATCTTCTGCGGGTGGGCATCCGCAAAGTAATGATCGACCACATTCTTTCATAGGCACAATAACCTACGATAAAGTGGGATTTTTGTAATAACTGTCTCTCCTGGTGAACACGGGATGTGGACTTAAAGCCATTCTACATACGTCAGTCAACATGATTTAGGTAGTATTCTAAAGACCATCACCAGAAGACACAAATACTTCTGATGAGAATTATTTTGTGCCACTCTACCTAATAGTATATTACATTCACAGTTAAGATCGTGGATGCATTGATTGATTTTGAAAGAAAAATCTATCACGTCGTACGACAAAAGATTCTTTCCACAAATTTACTTCACAAAGCTGTCCGGCTTGGTATACAGTGACGTAAAACGTCAGGAAAAATAAAAAAAAATATAATACCTAGAAACATTAAGCAGTGAATATCACTCAAAAGTGATGATTACCATTGAAGCTACAAACCCTTGAGAACACCAATACTCTTAATAAGAGTATGAAATTCAGAAGATGCATGAAGTATATTTTAAAGTAAGAAGTGTGCAGGAAAAGAACTATGTTATATATTGTTATTATTCCCTTGAGTTCCAAGTGATACATGAGGCATCAACAACACATTTCCACTTTCTTCTATTTTCTGCTGTCCTCTTCAACCGGGTGAATGACTGACTATAATACCTCATCTCCTCCTGCTCAACGCACGATCTCCTCCATGTCACCCTCGCACCGACGACCCACTCTTCACTTCTGATTCGCCTTCCACTCAAACAATGGTCTGCATTGAGCGCGATGTCATTCGATGGCCTCCTCAACATATGTCCGATTCATCTCCATTTTCTCCTACGCATTTGTCGAGCAATCGGCTCTTAGTTCATGTTCCCAGCCAGTGTTTCTTGTTGCTGACTCTTTCCGGCCAATTGACCTGTAATATAGAGCCCACGAAGGCAGCTGTTGGTAAAAGTCTGTAACTGGCTGTCGGAAATCCTTTCCGTTACACATAGTGCAAGTTTCTGACCTGTATAGAAGTGACTAACTGACTTCACATTAATGTTGACAATCTGAATCTTGTTATTTACGATGAGTTAGTTCAGAAGATTTCCAAACTGGTTTTAGGTTGGTGAAGATGTATGTAACCATGCTTCCTAGATACGTGAAGGAAGGAAATGACCTCTGTTAAATCCCTCCCATTGATGGTGATCGGTGCAGATTGTTGTTGTTAGATGATTGGTCGGCTGTTTTCATCACCTTCGTCTCCTCTATGTTAACCACTTGGAGTCCTGTCTTTGCTGCACTGCTTCTTCAGCCAATTTGTTGGTTAGAATAAGTGCAGAAAAATACCGAATGAATATGGATGGATTAAAAGCAAAATTATTTAATGTGGACAAAAAAACACCAGTGAAACAGACCGGATAACCCACTTCTGTGTACAAAATTCTCAGCTATTTCTTCTGCGTAATAACAACTTTCGCTGTGGAAAAACGTACACTCAAGAGCCACTCCGACAAATTTGCCTGAAGATATTTTTCTATTAAATGCGGAATATGATTTGTAAGAACAAGAGTGCTGAATTATCGAGTAGTTGGTTTGTCCAGTTTCACTTAACTCTATAAATATCCTGAATTTGTTAATCTTATAAATAATAGCTTGTAGTTTCTTTCATTGGTAGTCATTTCTGAGCGATATTCAACCAATTCATGGCTTCAGATTATGCGCGTAATTTACTAAATTTCCTGACAGAAATTTTCATGTGTTCGGTTACCAGCTGATGTTGTGCGTCAGTGGCACAACGTTAAAATGCTCGTCAACCACACCTCAAGTGGTCCGGAGTTCAATCCCCGGACGACGGACGAACTCCTTTACCTCCCTAGGCCAGGAATCGTACTGGTAATGAGAGGGAAGATTGTGCATCAGGCTAGCAATTCCATACCATATATAAATAAACAACACTGCTACGGAGGCTTCAGGCCTCTAGCTTGAAGCTCACTATGTTCCCTTGGGAACGTAAAGGAATAAACCATCTAACCTTTTGAAATATTGTATATGTATAACTGTACAACTTTGAAGCGAATTTACGAAAAGACTATTCTTAACTGGCTGACATCCAATGACATGAATATTTTTCATACAAGTAAAAAAGGCTATAAGTTGAAAGCATCATAAAAAGAATATAAGAGACGCAGATATTTTCTCACCTTGATGAATGAATTTCACATGTCGGCTAAGAGTAGCTTTTGAGGTGAATTTTTTATCACATTGCTCACAAGGAAATGCTATGCCTATATAATAATAAAATAATAATACCAGAGGTAAAAAAGTTTAAACCAAGAAAATTATGTAACAAGCACGATAGACTAGATAATATACAATAGAGAAAGTAATTCATTAAGAGTCCGATTAGTAGTGATGGTCGACAATAACTTAAGTAGCTCAAGAGAACACATTTCTTCCACACCAATGACATTATCACCGATCTAATTATGTAGGATTAGTATGAAAAAAAAGGCGGGAGGAGGATTAACATGAAATGGCACAATTCTGTGAAATCCTAAACAGTCAACACAGTGTCCCGAGGAGTCCTTAAATGTGCATTCTGCGTTCCACTGCCAGTCACCATTCCACAAAAATTACTTTAAGTTAATTATCAGATATCGGCGAAGCACCCACACAAGGAGCCGACATATCAACAGAGACCGAATATTTTAGTCGAATCAAAATGGAACTAAAAGTAAGTAATAATTGATACCGATTGCGCAAGAGGTGGTGGTCCACAAGGCCCAAGTGGTTCAGTGGTTAAGGCTTTAGGGTTTGAAATGACGGGTACTGGTGTTCGAGCCCCAGTGGGAAAAATATCCTACTCACTGGGCAATGCAGGTGAATCCACCTGACAAGTCCCAAATACGACGAAAAGCAAATCCACTCAACAAATTACTTTAAGTGTCCTTGTGATGTTTAAGAAGCTCATTGGCAGAAGATTCGATGAGAGGGAACAGAATAAAATAATATAGATAGATATTTGCATCATCTTTAAAGCATGCAATCCCCTCTATACATTTTCACTGAACTACTCATTATTGATATTATTTCATGCTCCTTCACAACACCATACTCCTTTTATGCCATCTGTTTCTCGTGTTATCACAACTGTATGTAATGCAAAATTCAGGAGAACAACATCACTAGAAATACCTATCTGAGTGCTAAATCTTTTCCTCTATTATTCAATCATTCACTCATTCTATTTTTCGATTCACATAATGCACTGGTGCTTAGTTCTCAGATAGGCTTCTGACGTCTAATTGAGCGAATGTAGCCGATTGGGTTTACTGAGTTGGTCATGAGAAGTATTTCAAAATACTGAATGATGGAAGTCCATTGGATTCTTACCGATCGATAAAATTTATGCACTTGTCTTGAAGACAGATGAACTTAGGGTGTGAATCAACTATTCATTCAAGTTATAAGATATACCTGATCAAAGTACTTCAATGATTCTTTAACTGATTTCACCTGATGAGGATACAGAAAAGGTGAAGTCAAGCGTAAACTTGTTGAACAGCTCTATATACCATACGGTGAAACAACGAAATTCTTATGGATACAAGGTGTTCAGGAAGTTGTAACTTACACACTGTTCGCTGAAATTGTTATTCACCCCTACTGTCACCTCATTTCTGTCCAATATCTGCCAATAAGCTAGAAAGCACCAGTGATTGATATGCGAGGTATATACTCAAATCAGTCAATTAGTAGTATGTGACTTTACGCAGTTATGCCACCGCTACAGGAAACTGTGATGCGCTTTCACCTCCTCGAAATGTGTAAATTGCGAAAATTCGATTTACACAATCACCAGTCCGCCAAAGTATCTAGTCAGAAATAGGAAACTTTGACTCGGTACTCTAGTCTTACTTAAACCAGTGTTTAGATCACTTCAATCTGACTTGTGAGCAATACTGATTAGTGTGGGTGGTGCACAAATACTCATCTCAATGAATCAGTAGTATATACCTTTACATAACGCTAAATTGCTGTGTTCTCACATTCTTAGCATGCTTTCCCATTTCCCAATCTTTGTGAAAGCTGGTTATCTCATTGAATATTAACTTTTTAGACATACATATTCAGTGTCGCACAAGACTCCTCTGACATTGTTGCTACAGAAAGTAAAAGCTCTCTGTCAACAGTCGTTTCATCTTTATGTCTTCCTGTGCCGATGGTATTGTTGTTTCTGTTGGTTGATGAACACAAAGTGACAAATATTTCGATTACAAGAGGTTATCCCATCGGCGTTAAGACTTTATGTGTTCACAACTGTCAGGCTGTTTTTAATGACTCTTATCAATTTGCTTATAAACCTAGTAGGTGTGATTTAGCTGCCGCTGTCGTCTTATGTCATAATAGTGTCTCTACTTTAGACAGAGGTGTCTTCCTAAATTACACATCTGCCTTTGACTCTGTACCTAAGCCTCTTTTGGCATATAAACTTGTTGCGACACAACCAGAGTGCTAGATTGATGATGAGTGGTTGCATTCTTACTCTTCTGATAGGAAGCAGCACATTGTTTACAATGGAAAGTCCTCCATTGCTTCACTTACTCTAGTTGGTGTTCCCCGGGAAGCTGTTGTTTCACCTTTTCTGTTTTCCTACTCCTTGCATGACTTGCCCCATTCTGACGAAGCTAATTTTGTTAAGTATGCCGATGATCTCACTATTTCTATGCCGGCGGTTACTTCTCAGTAGGACTGTTCCAAAATAAATGAAATTAGTCAGATGGTCTTAAACTTAGTCTATCCAAATGTCAGCCAGTTAATTTCACTTTCAGACGCAAGTGCGACTTACAGGAACTGGTTAGTTCGCATAGTTCGATCATCACAGATGCCACAGAAGTTGAAACCAAAATTGGATGTCAAATACCTTGAACTATTCATTACCTATGATCTTTCCTGATTTTCACACATCTAGGAAGATATTTCGTTTAGCGTTCTATGCAAGGCAGTTAAAAAATCCTGCATCACCCAGTTTCTACTTTCTAAGTCTGTTAATTCTTGTATTCTGCCTATACTTCTTTACCGCTCCACCACACTTAATCTTTCCTGGGTTACTTAAGAAAGACTTTGTTACACTGAGAAGGACACTGAAAGTCGTCAGTAGTGAGATGTTGCTAAACCAACTCGTTAACACCGCTGTTGTAAATAGACACATAAACTCATGCAAGAAATTAGGGAATATTATCTTATCAAACTCTGGGCATCCTCTTCATACACAACTCTCCCTCCTTGCATATAAATCATCAGAGAGAACTAGAAGCAACCAGAAAAGACTATATCCTTGGGCGACTAAGTACAAAAGCTCTACAATACGTTATTTATCAGGCACATATTTTATGTGATGAGAAAAATGTGTGTGAGGCAGGAAATTATCAACTTACTGTGGAACTATAAGTAAACGGACCGTTTTCACAAATATATTGTTGTTATTACTCTCACTTAATTCAATTTTATATTCATAATTTTAATGAATAACATTATGAATTAAGACGCCCACTTTTAATTATTATCCCTGTATTAAGGAAGTTAGTCGCAATACTGTACTACATGTAAAGGGAATTCCAAGAAAATATATTGCACTGATTAAGGCACTCTATTCGTACTCATACAGCCAGGTGAGGGCTTACGGCGAGCTGTCATCTGGACTGATGACGACCAGTGGTGTCCGTCAAGGATGCCCATTATCTCCTTTTCTATTCAACTTCATCATAGATGTGTTAATGCACTTAACCCTAGGTGACTTCAGTGACTCAGGAATTGACTTGCTACCGGGGAATAATCTCGTTGACTTGGAATATGCAGACGACATGGTCCTTCTAGGCGAAGACGCTGACGAAATGCAGAGTCTTCTAAACACCTTGAGCCGCAATCTACGAATGTTTGGCATGCGATTCGCTCCCGCCAAATGCAAGATGATGTTACAGGACTGGACTACATCGACGCCTAGTTTAAAAATAGGAAGTGAAGTGGTAGAGCACATTGACCATTTCACTTATTTGGGAAGTACCATCAGCCAGCCAACGGGTTGATCTCTGACGAAATCTCAGCACGGATACAGAGGGCTAATTTCGCATAAGACAGTTTACGCCGTCTCTGGCGTAGACGTGATATTCGACTATCGACCAAAGGGCGGGTGTACTGCTCATCAGTCCACTCCGTCCTCCTTTATGGCTGTGAGACCTGGCCATTGAGAGTGGAAGACATGAAAATATTAGCTGTCTTTGATCATAGGTGCCTGCGCTCTATTTCCCGTGTAAAGTGGCATAATAAGGTGAGCAACATTGAAGTTAGGCGTAGAGTTCTAGGTAAACAGGGGAAATCAACCGACGAAGTCGTGAAGCTACAAAGACTGAGATGGTTAGGACATGTGTTACGTATGCCAAGCCATCGCCTCCCTCGACGAGCAATGTTAGCGGATATAGGGTCAGGCTGGAAAAAAGCTAGTGGCGGTCAAACAAAAACTTGGCACCAGTCAATGAAATCCACAACAGTTGGTCTAAGCCACGTAGGAAGGTGTAGACTTCCTGGTTGGGGTCCTCGGGACGGTAAAAATCTATGGTTGGAAACAATTGGTGACATGGCTCCAAATCGTTCTCAGTGGCGCAGATGCATCCACTCCCTGTGACTTATGATCTTCAATGAAATTGTTTTGTATTTCTTTATTACTCCTTTGTCTCACACCTCTGCTCACTGTTTCTATTATGCTTTTCTTGTACTTTCTTCTCTTGCTTCGCGTGCTACACGGAGTGTGGCGACTTGAACTTCCGCACATTTGTGCAAAGTTCTATGTCGAAAACAGACAGACTACATGCTGAAAATTTCATATTTGTACCAAAAAGGTACTACTTGGAATAAAGCTGTTATTATTATTATTTTTCACGAGTTTGATCACGGATTGATATCAGTTAGAGAACCATTGAAAACCGGGACTGGACAGTTGTGTTATCCTAGTTCGGGAATCATCGTCAGTAAGCACTCACCGCCAAGGCTCGAACTCAGGACCTTCCGGTTACAAGTCAAGCTAGCTTTTATAGCATTCAGCCCCTGGGACGCGATTCAATGGCCAGCTCATGGATTTTAACTTCTACAATTCGTGATTTAGCGAGACACCACCTAACGTCGAATCCCGATGGGTGCGTACTGCCGATGATCCCTACACTAAAATGAAACAGCTGTCCAGTACTCCCTGCTAGTTTTCAATGGTTCTCTAACTGATATCAATCCCTGATCAACTCGTAAAAACAAAACTAACCCTCGCAAACCAAACTATAGAAAATTATTATTATTACTATTATTAAATGTTTAATTTGAAATATATAATCAAGTCACGAGAACAGGTTACATATATAGTTAATACATAAATAAGAATTTGTAATGTATACCAAATTCGATGTGCGTCAGCTTTCTAGCTTCGATGAATCGTTGACACATACAGATAGTTAACTTCGTTAGACTGGTTGACGTGTTATTATTATTATTACTAAAGTAGTTATTCACAATCACAGTTATTGTCAATATGGCTCGAACAACCATTGTGGAGAAGTAAACAAATTTACAAGCTTGTAAAAATTTTCGATCTTTGTCAAACCACAGTATTGTTTTCCAGTATGAAGTTCTGGTTGACTGATCTGATCTACGTGTGCACGACTTTCAGCCGGTGAGTTACACTTCCATTGTGGATAAAGTTCATTTCGGTAGTCTCACAGTGTTATACAGTAATATTTACTGATGACCACATTCCAAGCACAATTTTCATTGCCCATAATCATATCAAGGCAATACTCACACAACTTTCTAACTTCGTTTATATAGTTCCATTAATGTTCTTCACTTGACTTGATTGGTGGCAGTATTTTCTATATTTCCGGTATGAGTGATGAGTCATCCCTATTGCATGTGTTGTATTGGGTGCAGATTCGATGAACCAGGAATTAGTCGACAATCTCGCAAGCTCTCCTCCTACCTATATTACTTCTTAGAATTTTGACTCTGTCCTTCCCACCCTGTTGTGTGGCTGTGTGTTAATGCATGCATTGCAATTGTTGAGCGTTTTTTTTTACTTAAGTTTGCGGAGTCAATAATTGTAACGTTAGCTAAATTCTTATGTTCTGACAATCTGACTAGCCCTGATCTACTACTGGTTTGATCTATGTGGTTGACCTAGGTCAGTGGAATCATTCTCCACCACAGTGCACAAGTTCTATTCTTATATCAGTGAGTTACAGGTTCGAAATCCAGTCTACCGACCGAGGTTTAGGCAGTCGAGCAGTATTCAAAATGCCTCATTCAATGACGTGTGACTTATTGTTAACTGCACCGAACTGTAGTAGACTGAGCTGAGCTTATTGTTTTGCAGGATATTCATTATTTCAATGGTCGATGCAAAACATAAAATAATTTAGGCATGAGGTTGGTCATACTCCGTTTCATGTTATAGAATTCGCACGAATGACAATTCCACTGACGTATGGTGGAGGTCATATGATTACAAATAAGTCGATAGATAGAAGATGAAGAAAGAGAACTATGAGAGGAAGATGATAAAATACTCAGGTCAAATATAAACAGAGTCGAATTACTTCTCTGTTGGCAGGATTATCCTTCTAGACCTACGGCACTAATCCTCTTGCCAGTTAAGGTTGGCTTTGTCATTAAGGCAGTTCAAACAGACATGTGTGCAATTTAGAAGCACAAATGTTCTTATTCGTTAGTGAACGTTATTTGATAGGTCATTGATTCATTATTATGATAATTGTTTCCTTGGGTTCCGAATGGAACATAGGGTTACAACAGCACATCTTCACATTGGCCTATTCTCTCGGATCCTCTTCAGCTGGTCGCACGGCTGCACATACTTCCCACCTCCTCCTTACACGGTCTCCTCTATGTCACCCTCACATCCACGCCCGACTCGTCGTTCCCCATTTGGGTTCCAATCGATTACTGGCCTGCATTCAGCGCGATATCATTCGACGTTCTCCTCGGTGACGTTTTTCTAATCCCTATCTGTCTCCTTCCACATAATTATTGAGCAATAGATTTCTGGATGGTTTATTCCCAGAGTTTCTTCTAGCAAACTGCTTCTGGCCAGCCATCTGATCTTCAATATGAGGCCGGTAAAAGCAGATGTTCATAGAAGTCTGCAAAAGATTATTCGAAATGTTTTCCGTGATGTGCATGACAAATTTCTGACTCAGAAGTAACTGACTAAACATTGGTGTTAAAATTTCGGATTTGTTGTTTATGTTGAGGTGGAATGCAGAATGTTTCGAAAAGGTGAAGGGCTGTCTTAAGTTTCCGATTCTAGTTTTCACATCCTACTCCGTGCCAACTGCCTGTAGTTCAACTGATGCTGCTTAGCCAGGTATAAGCGAGGGAAGTGATCTCTTTCAAATTTACTCTATTGGTAGTCATTGGTGCTTCTTCCAATCAGTAAGTAACTTTCTTTCCTCTCAAATTTCTTGTAATATTGACTTGAGCATATTCACCATCGTTTTCAGTGCTTCAGGTGGAATTCAGTCCGATCCTGCTGCCTTCCCGAACTTCAACAGCTTGATTCGTATAGGTCCCTCTACTCTTTATTTATATTTGCTATTAACAAACTTATCTTTTTTTCCTGATTCAAATTAATGAGTTTGCATAGTGTGAATATGTATTCTTAAAATGAAGAGATACATAATTTGAAGTATGAATGCAAAGTATGTGGCACACTATCGAATAAAGTTATACAGCACACTTAGAGATCAGAACTATGAGCCGGAAAAAGTTCTTGAAAATGATTTAATAACAAAGACACAACTGATTCACTTGATGTAGACGTGATCCAGTGTACATTGTTTCGATACTGGGAGTAACCAGTCTAGTGCTGTCTAATCCTGAAGATTAACTCAATTCAAGCTTGCATGCAATCTAAGCTACCAGTCTAGGAGAACTTGTCATTGTGCGACACACTGGAGAGATGGTGGATTAATGGTTACAGGCGATCACTAGTAAGCCTTTACACCCACACAGGCTTTGCGCTTATTGGCGCACATGTGCAATACGTATCTGTTATCTCGAAACAGCCTATATTTTTTTATTTCAGCTTGATTCCACACCGTATTTAAAAAAAATAAAGCTGAAAATGGAAAAACGACATGATGGACTCCCTGATTATCATCTGACAGCAGAAATCTGTGAAACAGAAACCTCTTTTAAACTCTCTAAAAGATAAAGGAGAATTGTTAAATTATGCTTTCGTTGTTATTTATTTTACATATTGACAACGTTGTCAGTATGAAACCACACTTTACCCCGGAAATATTTTCAGAACAGTAGTACCCATTTTCGATTTTATCACTGTCGACATTTCAGCTCCTTGTGAGAATGCTTCAACTTGAAGTGATTTGTTGGATGGTGACTGGTAGGGGAACCCAAGGATGTGCATTTCGACCTACTTGTAATTCGTCATCTGGATATGCCTGAATTTCCCAGTGCGTTTGAAACGATGGGTAGTGGGTTCAAGACTCATTGGGATCACCATCACTCCTCAGTGGGGAATGCAGGTACATCCAGACGACAAGTCAGGAAGAAATTTCACTGCTGGTCACCATCCAACAAATTATTTCTATGGAATTAACCTTCCGATGACTGAAACTGCGTCAGTGGTTCAGTAGTAGGAATGTTCGCCGACCACGCAGGAGACTCAGCTTCAAATAACGGCCAACTCACTCCTAAACTTCAACTAGTTTACTAATCGGTAGTAAATCCAGGAACGAGGGGAGACAGTTGCTGATCACCGTCAGTACAGCATGGTGAAAACTACTTCGCTAGCCAATTAACAGCCACTTTTATCGAATTAGTATTTCGACAGTCCTGATACCGCTGCATTGCAGACACCTGTGAATTTTCCATTTCGAGCGTCGTTGGTGTAACTGGTTTATTCAAGACCCAGTTGTGGCACATCATCAGAATTCTAGTCAAAGGTAACTTCGACTTGGCGAAGAAAGTACCTAAAGTATCCAACATACCTCCTCAAACGGATTTCCTGCTACGGCAGTCTTGGTATCTATTCTACACAAACCAATCAATTTCAACTGTGTGTCGCTGTAAATACATTACTCCTCCACATCCACATTTCCTACCCCCTACCTATGATTCAATTGTCCTAACAGTATTCAAGTATTGGTTTGTAGGGATTTGGTTGATTGGTTACATGATTTCATCATCAGTTCACATCAGTTAGAGAACCATTGGAAAACCTGGGAGTACTGGACAGATGTTTCGTCCTAGTTTGAGACTCTTCAGTGGTACGCACCCGCTGGGATTCGAATCCAGAGCCTTCTGGGTACAAGGCGAGCTCGTATACCACTAAGCCATGGGGCCCAAACCAATGACCCATGAATTCCAACTTCTTCCAATTCACGATATAGCGCAACCACTAGCCAATGTCTTCGGTGAGTATTTGTCCTCACATCCGACCTGCGCTATATCGTGAATTGGAAGAAGTTTGAATTCATGGGTCATTGGTTCTGGCCCCATGGTTTAATGGTATACGAGCTCGCCTTGTAACCAGAAGGTCCTTGGTTCGATTCCCGGCGGGTGCGTACTGCTGAAGAGTTCCAAACTGGGACGAAACATCTGTCCAGTACTCCCAGGTTTTCCAATGGTTCTCTAACCGATTTCAGCTCATGATGAAATCATGTATCCTATCAAAACTGAAATATTAGATTTAGATCAAATCTGCTCCTGTAGGGCATCCAGAATTCCGCCTATATACTGCGGAGTCATCTGATCGGTTGTTCAAGGTCATTACGTCAGTTTATTATTAGCTAGATTCGTTTTTGGTCGATATGGTTTAGAGTTACCCACGTGTATGAAAAAAATACACCTCTAATACAATAATATAAAAAAGGGAAGTAAACACGTTCACAGATATACACATAAAAACTATCAGCTTACCTTCATGAATTACTTTCTTATGTTCACTTAAATAAAACTTTGTAGTGAACTTTCTATCACATTGATCACATGGATATTTAATTCCTGAGAAAAATTGAAATGCCAAAAATTAAAATTGATAAAGTCAGAGCTGCATTAGTTGTCGCGATGGGACCACCAGCATCACGTACAACCTCCACTTTTTCCCAGACTTACTACCGGCTGAGCGAGGTTTAGGAGTGCATCGGCTGAAAATCAAATCTAGGACCAAGTACATAGTCATCAACCATTCCAACACCATACCTCTGATGCTAAAAAAAACTAAACTATAAAATGTTATAATGATAAAAACAGCTTTATTCCAAACAGTATTTGTAGTACAGGTATGGAATTTTCAGCGTGCATTACAATATATTGCATCTAAATACCTCCTTAATTTTATGAGATTTTAAAACCAAAAAGCAACACCCAAAAAAAGAAGATAAAAAAAAAAGAAACAGCATTGCGTTTACATTTTAAACAATGCACCACAGGATATGAGGTATAAAATTGGTGTGCAATAGAAGATAAGAACAACAGTGTAATAGTAACGAGGAAAGGAAAACAAAAACTAATGTTATTACTCCCCCTTGGTTTACGAGTGAAACATATGGTTTCAACAACACATCTCCACTTTCTTTTATTTTCTGCTGTCTTCATCAGCTGGGTCCACGATCGACCATAATATCTCATCTACTCCTCCCCAACACACGAACTTCTCCATGTCACGCTCACATCGACGACCCACTCCTAGCTTCCGATTGGCATTCCACTCCAGTGATGGCCTGAATTGACCGCAATGTTATTAGACGGTCTCCTTAATGTATGCCAGATCCATCTCCATTTTCTCCTAAATATTTTGTCAGCAATCGGCTCTTCAATGGTTCGTTCATTGCCAGAGTTTCTTGTTGCTAATTTTTTTTCTGGCCAGTTGATCTTCATTTTGGAACCAGCGAAGTGGGCAGCTGTTAATAAAAGTCTGTAACTTGTTGGAAATCCTTTTCGTGACACGCAGTGCAACTTTCTGACCCGTATAGGAGAACTGACCGACTACACGTTTGTGTTGAATAGAATCCGAATCTTGTTATTCACATGCTGGCTAGCTAAGTGAAGTAAAAGATTTCCAAACTGGTTTCAGGTTGATGAAGGCGTATCTTGACTTTTTGATTCTAACTGGTTGGCTTTGACATCTGCGTCTGTTCCCACTGCCTTTGATTGAAGACCGTGCTTCCTAGATAAGTGAAGGCAGAAAGTGACCTCGGTCAAACCTCTCCTGTTGATGGTGATTGGTTCTAGGTGTCATTGTTAATTGGTTGGTTCGTTTGTTATCTTCATCACCTCTGTCTTCTCTATGCTCATCACCTGGAATCATTCCTGTCTTCGCTACCCGCCTTTTCAACTAGTTTGTTGGTTTTCGCCTGTAAGTCTTCGAGTTTGTGTGAGACATATATCATCTGAGAAATGCAAATCTTCTAGAATCTTCTTATCGGTGTCTCAGCGTAAAATGTAGAAACACATAATCAGGTTAATCTAACTTTTCATTACAAAAGTAGCTATAGTGCTATATAGTGCTACATGCAGAGTGAACCTCTTTAACCCTATTTATGACTCCTGATATATAAGGTAGGAATAAACGTGGTACACCATCACAAAAGCTGACTCAGGAACAAATCATGTTGTCAGTCAAAGGATCTTGTGGAGCCAATCACATAAAAATAATCTAGTTTATCTAATGCTATGCAATGATCGTGAGTAGTAGGATGATCAAAGTAGTAGGATGTGATTAATTAGAGCAACAGATCTAGACAATCTATAAAAAAGCTCAACTATAGCACTACACGCAGTTGCATACAACCATACAATAGAATGGGATAAGGTGGCAGTCTTAAAATCTATCGGTAAAGAGTGTACGGAGAGATTGATAACTGAAGCTTTATTTATCGAATCAACCGCGAATATGTGCAATAGGAATGACTAAACACCTGTCTAACCTGAACATCTGAAACATGCTACTGCCTTTATGACAAAAGGGGTGGGGAAAAGAAGGAGAACTTTAAAAACTTAAGTTTCCCAGTTGTGTAGTTACAATTGCTGAGTGAACATTTTGGAGACCACTCCTCATTATTCAGCATACGTTATCGTTTTCTCAAGCTGACAATGAATGAAAATGATGATTTTCCTACTCACGTTGGCACAGTCAACCGAGAATGTGAGAGATTTCGACTCAGGTCCTTAACAGATGATCAATTCAAAGCCTTGATTCTCATATGCAGTCTCCAATCTCCTCGTTTCACAGATATCCGAACTCGACTGCTCAATCAGCTAGAACAAAATCCTAAGTCAACTCTACATGACATAGCTGATGAATATCAACGGCTGATTAATTTGCAGAAAGACACACACCTGGTCGAATCAACACCTTCGAGAAGCTCTGATATTCATGCATTACGAAAGAGCAAAAATCTCTCTTCATCAGCTACTCCTGACCCACCTACTTCTCCTAATGTTCCGCGGAAATCTACACATACTCGTCCAACTTCTCAAATTACTGCAAAGAAGACCCCACCATCACCATGCTGGCATTGTGGCGCGTGGCACTTTGTAAAGTCTTGCCCGTACAAAAATCATCGTTGCAGCAAGTGCAAAATCATCGGTCATAAAAATGGATTTTGTCAGCCACGCAAACCCAGATATCATGATCCAGCGAAAGCTCGACCAACTGTTGGTCCTAAATCTCCAAGGAGATCTTTGAGTCTATTCGCAACCTGTCAAGTCACAACTCCATGTATGCGGAAATATCTTCAGATGAATGGTCACGATACACGACTGCAGCTTAATACTGCCTCCGACATCACGGTTATTTCAGAGAAACTTTGGAATGATATTGGCAGACCACCAATCGCAAACACTTCTCAGACTGCTGTCAGCACCTGTGGTGGGTGCCTCAAACTAACTGGTAAACTCCAATGCTCTGTGTCTTTTCGCAACATCAAATTCACAGGAAATTGTTACGTCACCCCAAGTGACTTAAATATTTTGGGACTCGGCTGGTTCGACCGTCTACATTAGGCTGATGTCCCACTTAGTTCTGTGCAACAACCTACAACACCGTGTCCACCAGCAGACCATCCTTGGTTCAAAATTCATATTAATCTTGCTGGTCCTATAAATGGAGCATATTATCTGGTGGTAATTGATGATTTTTCGAAATGGCCAGAAGTTATGCCAATCGTTTCACCAACAACGTCCCAGACTCTCAAAACTCTCACTGACATATTCTCCTATCATGGTCTGCTACAAACAATAGTTACAGATAAGGGTTCGCAGTTTACTTCTCATCAATTTCAGCAGTTCTGTCGTCAAAATGCTATCAAGCATATGTTCACACTGCCGTATCATCCTCAATTGAACGGTCAAGCGGAATGTTTTGTCGACACTTTGAAGAGAGCATTACTCAAAGCAGAGGGAGGGGGACACCATTTGACATCGTCCAAAAATTCTTGATGGTGTACCGTACAACGGCGAATGAGTCAACACAGAACAAGAAATCGCCGCCAGAAATTCTTTACGGACGCAAACTTAGAACGATTCACAACTCAATGTTACCACCGGCACCCAAACGTGCCGACGCAGCAATTCGGAATGCAAAAAAATAATTTGATGGTGGAATCCACATTCCACTGCTAGTCACAATCCACTAATTAAATAACATCCTTTTACTATTCGTTAATAGCTCCATTCCGATTTTTCAACTTTTTCTAAAATCCTTCGGTAAAAGTGATGTGGGTTCCTGTAGTAGAGTCCGAAAATCACCGGTGTGGTTTGGTCTATGATGAATATATCCCAAGGATAAGAGGAGTCCCACCCTTTCCACCCATCTGTGTGTACTGTAGATCCTCATTTCACCAGTCAAGTGATAATGGGTGTTAAAATAGTTAGTTGACTTTCTATCTGATATTCTTTCGACGAATCCTTTCCATTGAGAGGTATCGTAAAATCCAATTTGCTTGTTCCTGACGACGATCGTATTTTCTCTTCATTAAGACTGTCTCATCTATATGTGCAACGATACCTTCTCCTCCCAGTACAGAAATAAGTCTCTCCATTTTCCAAAATGTGATATCTCTACATCACTGATACCACTGAACTGTTGAAACGAGACTACTTTCTGCTTCAGCAACTACAGCTCTCACAGGCTGTTTTAAAACCCGACAATCATAAATATGCAAGCTCTGGGTTAGTGATAGATGGGATCTAGCAAAAAGTGTTCCTACGAAATAGTATAATCATCATCTTACCTTCTTCCGCATTAACTCGTCTTAAGCAAATTCCACAACGAGGTATATATCCATCAACCGATCCGCTGAAGCTTTTTATACTCATGATACTTCCGCAGGAACAAATCCTTTCTTTTCTAACCAACCCCACATCTAAATAATATTGGAAAACTTGGTCTTCCTCCCAAGAAACTCACTGGCCCATAAATTCTAGTATAATTCAATACGGAGTACCTTAATCATGACCTTCAGTTTTGGGAAAGTCCAGTTACTGTTACAAAAACAGAAACAAAAACTCTATGAAGACTTCCAAGTCAAACGCTGATCGAAGTGATTACTGATAAATTATCTTAGCAGTCATCCAGTCATCGTCATGCTGAGATTATTCATTCTGTTAACCAATTAGCCATAGAAGCATAGAGCAGTTTATCAATTGATGAAGGATTATTTGCACAGTTGAATTTCAACAAATCCATGAAAATTGATGTCAAGAATCAGATTGGCAATCGGGATGCATCAAAATCTAGTCAAGGCACCATTTGTTCAAAAGCACGGAGATATCATCAGTTCAATTGCAGAGATTTTCACCCCAGTTTCTCATATCTCAGAGAAGAAGGAAGAATGCACCCCAGCTCCCAGTACGTGGCCAGGTTGCTGAAAGGACTTCTGGAGATATTTTGAACTCAGTTAGTGAAATTACATGTGATGTTCAATTGATCTCAAAGAATTTCAAAGATTTATGTTATCATATCAGTCTTCATGATTTGGATATGTTGGACATTGAATGGATTGATAAACTATCCTCTTGGGAAATACTTTTTGCAGATATCGATTTCGATGAAACAATGCAAATTCTTTGTAAACCTTTTGGAAAAATGCATCAGTATTCAATATACGCTAGAAATGTTTGATTCTGACCAAGGAACAATGTGACGACTTCCTTATTTTTGCTAGGAAAGTCAACTGTGGACCAAGCAAGGGTCCCACACTATTTCGTGGGAGAAGTATCATAGACAGGGAGTACTCAGACTTACAAATATCATCTTCAGTGGTCCTCTAATAGAAAATCTATCAAAAAAGGGAAGTGTTAGGACGGACAGCATATCGCTGTCAACCGTAAAGTCATCGGTGATATTAATTATTTATGGTTCAGATCTACGTGGATGTGTAAGGGATATATATATAAATCCTGTACTTTGTATGATAACGCTGTTGTCACATTTAAATCTAACTTCTCTGTCTACCTCATTGGCGGGGAATACCTCCAAATGATCATTCTGCTACAGCGACGTGATTGGAAGCTCATTCTAGTCAAGATAGACAAAAACCAACACTCCACTACAACAGTAGGCTTGGCGTGAAACTAGCAACACCCACCCCTGTTGCTAGAAAATAGCACTGCTACTGAAACCGCAAGGATCAAGGTTGAAAACCCCTGTGTTCCATTTGGAAATTATTCATGCGATAATACTTACGACAGAAATGCAGAATTTATCCTTTTATCCTTTACAAGGATCGAACATTTAGTGAAATTTCCAGAATTGATACTGATGAGCCTCATACGGGACGAAACATTCCGCTTGGATTCCACTTATAATAGCCAATAATCAGTAGAAAATGCGAAATAAAAACAAACCTAGTCAAATGCGAAGGAAGACAACTTCGAGATGGTATTGTGCCATCGGCTTTCATTCGTAGCTGAACTTATTCCAGTAAAGTTTCTTCGGAAGTATAATAGGGATAAGTGTTTATATAGTAATAATGAAATATAACGGCCATATATATATATAAATATATATATATATATATATATATATATATATATCGAAACTTTATTTAGTACAGACTATTTATTTCTGTACATTACTGCATTTCGCGTCAGTCTGTTCCTCTTCATCAGTTGCATACCTTTTATATCGACTCACTCAGCATGAAGAAGAAAATTCGGATTTGCAACACCAATGTTAAGCCAACCAGTCACTTCTTCCATATGGGTTAGAAACTAGCTATTCGCGTCACGAAAAGCATTTCCGACAGGCCAGCTGAAGAATTTTATCAACACTTGCCCCGTTCGTTGGTTTCATCATACTGAAAGTCAAATGGCTGATCAACGAGAAAAAATTAGCAACAAGAAACTCTGACAATGAACGAACCAACAGTAAAGAACCTATTGCTTAACAAATGTGTAGAAAAAAATGGAGATGGATCTGAGGCACACCACTGAGGACACCATCGGATAACATCGAGCTCAATGCAGGCCATCACTTGATTATAACCCAAGTGGGAAGCGAAGCGACGAGTTGGGTGTAGGTTCGAGGGTGAAATCGAAGAGATCGTGTGCGGAAGATATGAGAAACTATGGACAATCATAGGACTAGCTTAAATGGACTGCAGAGAAAAGAGTGAAACGAACATGTGCTGTTGAAGTCCAACGTTTGTTCCTCTCGGAACCCAAAGGGACAATAATAAGAATAATAAATATTGATTCACACTTTCTCTTATTTCATCTGTCAGTTGAAGACTCAATGTGTTCCAAGTGACAGAGACGGTTTCGAGTGGCGCTACAGAGAACTTCAACTTCTATGGGCTTATTCGAATGATAATTGTACAAATATGAAAACCATGAGAAAGACTATTAATAATAATAAAAATTAATAATAACAGTGAAATACCTTTATGAACGCCAATTATATGTTGATTTAAACTAATTCTTGATAGAAACGATTTATCACATTGATTACATGCTAATCTAATGCCTAGAACAAAAAAAACACAACAGATAAATTGACTGTATAAGTATAAGCAAACAACCGAGTGATTTCCTTTCAAAAAGTAAGTATACCTACATTTTTAACTCAGTTTGTGAGATCAAAGTCACTCGCCAAAGGCCTCTATAGTTTAAATTCGACGAATACAGATGATTCATATGAAGTGTCTTGGCCAACTAGTCCATGACTTTAAGGATTGACACGGTAATTTCATGTTGTCACACTCTATGCTTGCCTTCAATTTGATCGTACTTCTGGCAAAATGTTCGTATAGTTGAGGTCTTGGGTTGCGCAATCTGTGTCTCAGTTGGAGATCTATAAACTCATTGACTAACCTGTCAATAGAGAAAAATCCTCTATTCTTCTCAAGATTGCCGAAGCAATTTCTACCAAACGCTTAAAACCCGATTTATGTGTGTGTGTTATTAGTATTTTCGTGGCCTGGTTAATTGGATGCCGTTATCCTCTCTTTCATTCGAATACGGTTATCTTTGGCTTTAACCTCACACTACCCCCCCACCCACTTTGATATATTGTAATTTTGCTTGTCTCTTGTTTCTATGATTTCAGATGAACTCAGTACATCGGTAACTAATTTTTTAGTCAATCATTATCTTGCTCATCCCTAGTCTCCTTTACCATTGTATGCATACATTTACTTTGTTTAAATTTGAAATGCCTGTGTAAAAACTATAGTAAGTGCAATTTTCTGGGCACTGCTCACTGATTGCGACACTTTCTGTCAACTGACATCATTAAAAAAACCTGCAAGTATGTCAAAACTTTCCTATACATAAATCTCATTTATTTATTTATTTACTCCGTAAGCAGCTGATGAGAAGCCAACAAAATAAACAAATGATGGTACCATTTTATTCTGCACAAAACACCCTTGTTCTTTCTTTATTCAAATTCATCAAGGGTGATAAATGTATGAAGTAATTTGTTTTACTCAATCAAGACACCTCCTCAGCTATTAAAGGCTCTGGTAACCACACAACTCTGAAACTTTCGTTTTATAGTTTTCTTTATTCTTTCCTATTTGTCGTCATAGGGGTAGTAGAATTTTCTAGATGTCCGGGTGGATAGGTGTTGAATCATTACCATTACATGCATTCACTCCCAGTTGATTCGATAAACAAAGCTTCTGTTATCAATCTCTTCCTCCACCCTGTTGGGTTGGATTTAAAAACTGTGATCCGATCCCATCCTATTGTATGGTTGTGTGTAATTGCACATAATGAGTGCTATAGCTGAACTATTCTCTAGATTTCTTATCTTATTCGAGTCAACCAATCTAGATTTTGCTAGGTTTTCATGTTGAGCCAGTCTGACTGACCCTGTTCTACTAGGTAGGAATAAAAGTGGCATTCAAACCCACAAACTCAATTGGAAACAAGATTTTTCCGTTAAAGGATACTGTGGAGCCTCCAAAACGTAACAATTTAGTTTATCTTATACCCTGCTTGATCGATTTCCAGGTCAAACTAGGAGAACAGGGCAGTCAGACTATCTCAACATGAAAACCTAGCGAAATCTAGATTGGTTGACTCGAATAAGATAAGAAATCTAGAGAATAGTTCAGCTATAGCACTCATTATGTGCAATTACACACAACCATACAATAGGATGGGATCGGATCACAGTTTTTAAATCCAACCCAACAGGGTGGAGGAAGAGATTGATAACAGAAGCTTTGTTTATCGAATCAACTGGGAGTGAATGCATGTAATGGTAATGATTCAACACCTATCCACCCGGACATCTAGAAAATTCTACTACCCTATGACGACAAATAGGAAAGAATAAAGAAAACTATAAAACGAAAGTTTCAGAGTTGTGTGGTTACAACAGTTGATATGGTTATCAACAATAATGAATTGTGTTCGACAATTCGTCATCCAGTAAATAATACTATTTCATGGACTATTTGATATATCTAATAAACAAATAAATATGGAATTACATACTACCATAGTGCCCAAGTTTTACACAAACGAAGGACTAATTACATGATATCATGAAAGAAACATGAAAGAATCATTCACTGTTCTTTCGTTACGAAAAGTTCTCTGATCGACACCATTCTGGGTTGAGTGCGTCAGTAATTCAGTGATATAATGCTCACGAGACACACAAGAATGTCAACGTCCAACTCCTGAGTCATCGCCCCTTTAAAACCCCACCTAATTTAACAGGTGGCAGTAATGTTATACAATAGTGGAGGTTGTTGGACATAAGGCTACAAACCCGCTACTGATTCCCTAAAATCTTGAAACCCTAACTTCCACTCGGAACGTACAGGTATGAAAAAGTAATGTTCCAGATTGCGGCAGAATTCGAAGCAATTGCCTCTGAACTATCAGTCCACAGGTATGTTAGCTGAACTAACCGAGTTAACTGAGTTGTTTCACTAAAACCACTACAGGTAATATCTGGTTGTCACATGAATATGTAATGCCTTACTGTCAATCGTACCTTTTACTTGAAGACAGATCCACAAGGCAGTGGAGCAGCCTAAGGAGCTACGTTCCCATGGTTGCGCTTCCGGTGACCAAAACAATTTCACACGCTTTTCGATCCATTCGGATTCTTGAGCCTATCTACACCATAGGTTTGGAATGAGGGTTTTCCAGCTCTCCTAGGTAGTCTAACATGTCTGTCAGTGCAGTTGTAAGTGCCACAAATTCGCATTTATCCCTTAACTTTTATAAGCAACAACTGCATCGCGTGTAGGACTACATTTGGAGTCAAAATACTAACCTACTGAAGGAGATTTACATATGATCCCATATACATACACATAGATATTGTGATAAGTAGATTAAAGATTCCTTAAAACAGTCAGTCCAATGTGTTACAATTTATATCTGGTGGAATATTAGCTAATCGATGAGTTGGCTCATTTGCAAAACAAAAAAAATGGTTGCAAATTTCCTCTTTCAACATATGCGTAAATAGGCAAATATTTAACTCACCTTTATGAATTGCTCTTATGTGTTCATTTAAAGAAAACTTTGTTGTAAACTCTTTACGACATTCATCACATGTTGGTTTTATGCCTAAAATAATAAAAGTTAAATGAATTTACTTCAGTAGTATATTTTTCACTTATGTGGAGAACAAATCCTGTCTTGAGAAATGCATATCTCAAGTCTAATAGAAGACGATTGGAGGGAGTTGGTAGAACGGTTTATATATAGATTTCGTGCTTATTGACACTCTACAGCAAGACGTATCTGTAATCTCGACAGAACTGATATCCCATCATCTATGATTCGAATGCTCACCCCCCAGAGCTACGGTAGTCAGTGACGCTACAATTGGACTATTCGAGTACAGTGTTAACCTCCTGTAGAACTGTGAATATACTGCAACCTTATGTGACAGAATTTAGTCATCATTACTAAGGTCTAAGCACATGGTACTGGTTACGATTCCGATGACCAATCCAGTACAAACCACCAAAGTCCTACAGGAGGCGAATAGTGGATCTGAATAGCTCATCGGTAACGTCTTTGACTGTAATCCTGAGTGACGCAAATTCGAATCACAGATAATGGGATATCAGTTCTGGCGAGATTGCAGATACGCCTTGCTGATGAAAGTGGCAATCAAGCCTACAATAAACAGAAAGATTCCATTTTGAGCTTAGTCGAATAAGATTTTACTTACATAATACTCGGAGGTAAAAAGTAATCAAATATCAGAAGTACTTTCAGTACTTACAACGAAGAATATTTGCAGCAGGAATATAAATCAACAGTTAACTTCTACAATCGTGAGGATGTGATTCACAACTGGTGAATCACGAGTCCCAATACCCCTCCACCTACTCCGGCCGGAGAAACTACTGGGTGGTATCACTAGCCTTCATATGCAATAATTGTGGCTCATGACCTGACACAAGGAAGACCCATTTTGAGAATCGAGCTCTCCTATCTTAACTTTTTCGACTTTTTACAAAGTTCATTCATATAATTGATATAAGAATAAAACTTGTGCACTGTGGTAGAGTATAATATATCAAGGTCCGACCTTGATATGATTATGAGCAATAAATTGTGCTCGAAACGTCATCAGTGAACATTATTGTATAACACTGTGATACTTTATCAAAACAAAAATTTACCCATAATGGGATTCATTCATATAATTTTTGGATAACGATGTACCAGACTGTTTTTCACATGAAATATCTTTCGTTCATTTCAGAAAATCCAACGGAAAAATAAATGTACAACGAACAAGAAGGTCAAATCATTAGATGTTTGAAAGTTCTTGGATAAAAAAATTATCATTTCATTTTGAACCATTTACACATTGACTCCTTTCTTTCTACACTGATAAATAATCCAACTAATTGAACAACCAAAACAAAAGTGTCCCACTCATCAACCAATTGAAATCATCATCTTACACAGAAAAAAAGGTCAAATATTTCAGCATAGACGAATCTATACCTGCACCCATATGCTCATCTGCTCAGTGACAATATAGGAGTAAAAAAATGCCTAACACTTCATTTTTGATGGATAAAAAGGCAGTTGATACGGGGTTTACTCCATTACAATGGAATTTTACATAGGTGATAACTACTAATCAATTTCCCAAGGAGCAGGTTATTCACTCCTGTACCACATTCAAGCGGGAAATTTACACATCACCATCTGCTTAAACATAATGTATGCCAACAGGAGAATGGATTCGATCGAAAGAAAGCAAAGCATAGTTAAATTCAAACAAAAATAATACTAAACTATACAGTGAATGACTATCCCTTTCGAAACTGTATAGTGAAGTGCACATTGTGTATGCATTATCAAGGATACCTATTATCCAAAATCGATCACGATAATACAGACCTCTTTTGAGGTTGATTTTATTGTCCTCATTTGATTGCATATTTTGTATAGTATATGTGTATAGTAGATATAGTGTAGCAACTTGAATCAGGACTCGGTATTGTTTCAAATTTGATCACGGATTGATATCAGTTAGAGAACCATTGAAAACCATCACTTGAGTACTGGACAGTTTGTTTCGTCCTAGTGAGAAAGTCGTGACCAGTGGTGTCAGGCCGGCCGACAGTGGGGCCAAACACTCACAAATGATATTGACTTGCACCAGTCAAGCTAAAATCATGAATTGACAGAAGCTAGAAATCATGGGTTAGCCATTGAGTCGGGTCCCAGTGGTTGAATGGTCTACAAGCCGGCTTGACTTGTAACCGTAAGGTCGTGGGTTCCAACCCCAGTGGGGTGGCGATAACTCTGAAACTAAGGGGGCGAAACAACTGCCCAGCACTGGTTTTCAATGGTTCTCTAAATGACATCCATACGTGATGAAACTCGAAACAGATCAAATCTTTATTTACAAACACTCGGCGTATTGTGCCGTATTTTATGCAGATAGAAAAGCGTTTAAAGCAAAAAAGAAATGAAAAAACAACCCAATGTTTATTTAGAAAACAGCTAGAGACAATAATAACCACCTACCTTCATGGACAATTTTAATATGATCATTCAGACGAGATTTACAGGGGAATGTTAGGCTACAATGAGTGCATGGTAATTTTGTATCTAGAAAAAAGAATAAAAATTGAATTAAACTGGAATATAATAATAATAATAATTTGCTTTATTCCAAAACAGTACTTGTGATACAGAATGGAATTCTCAGCATTTCACTACAGTATTGCATCCAGTTTGTACAGTAACAATAAATAAAATTCTACACAGATCATGGGTAATCTCAGTTAGTTTTGACAACAATATATTAGCATATCGGCAGCAAAGCCAATAGTGAACAGAATGTTTAAAGGTGTTAGAAAAGTAGATGCTAGCATATTTACTGGAGTAGGCGGTAACAAAAAAGTCGAGATATATGGAGTGTGAAACAACGAAAAAAAATTAAAAATTCCATATTGGATAGGCTTATTTTTAACTATCGCACACAATGATTATGAAGTATTATTAATAACTGGATGACAAGGTTTCCAGAAGCATAAATTATTGCCAATCATAATCATATCAGTTTTCAGAGACACGCTTTCACAACTTGTCTTATGTGTATATTTTCTCTCTTTCTGTCTATCCGACTTCCCTTTGTTGTTTGTTGCCACTTTCTATATCCCCGGTATAGGCGGGATTGCGCCATTCCGATTGCACGTGTGCAATGTGGAGTTGACAGACAAAGATTCAGTAAATAACCTCTGGAAGTATGGAAAGTGGCAACAAAAAACAAGAAAGTATATATATATATATATATATATATAAATTATACAGTTGATATGATCATGAGGAATGAATTATGCTCAGAACGTCATCCAGTTATTAAAACTGCACCAATGTGTGTGATACTTAAAACAAACTTCTCTAACTTCCGATTCCTTCCTTATCACTTGCTAAGTGTGTGGAATTCCACGGCCTAAAAAACAGCGGTATCTAGGTAGTCGTAATTGATGCTTTATGAAAACAATTTACATTGGATATAGATCTGAGCTACACGAAAACATGTATTAATTGTACCAAGAAATTACTATACTAAACTATTAATCCTTATGCCAAAGAGTCCCAAACTAGGACGAAACAGCTGTCCGGTACTCCCACGTTTTCCAATGTTTCTCTAACTGATGTCAGCTCATGATGAAATCCTGTAATCTTATGAAAAAGCAATCAACTGACACATCAAATCTCATAAAAGTAGAGGGGGACTTTTCAAGTCTCAGCGCAGTACACTTGACTTCGTATAATAAGACAATATTTGTTAGACCTCAGTTACCCAGTACTAGGAAGTAGGCCACACTTATTGTGTAGAAGCTAATAATACTACTCAGCTGCCCAGGCTGAAGTAGGTGGAGTGGAACACGAACCTGGGACGCATTCACTGAAAGTCGAATGCCTAAACCAATGAGTCACACTTCCACCGGTGATATAGAACTATATCATACTTCCACTAGTACCTATACATATACTTAGATGCATGAATTTCTAACCATGTCGCATAGTTTACCACAAGTCATTCATGCCGTTAAACCCACAATCCTGTCTATCATCCTGAATTACCTTACTGTTTTTGATGATTGAAGATATTGTGATACCCGTCTACCGGTAAGATTGGATGAATGCACATTTCATCGACTTTGGTTTATCCATCGCTTGAGTTCCAAATGGAATCTCAGGCTTTAAGACTTTGGAGATTCACTAGCAGTGGTGTTTGCTAGACTCACGTCAAATTTCCCTCTTTTTTCTGGACTTAATAAGCCCGGTTGGTACATTAAGCGAGGTTTTGAGTGTATCGGCTTTGATTACAATCCAGACGTCCCGCGTAGCTAACGAGCATTCTGTCGATCATACTGGTTCACATTAAGAAAGCGATAATATATATATATATATATATATATATATATATATATATATATATATATATATGAGCACACTAACTAAATCTATACGAATCATTATACTTACGTTGATGTACAAAGTCTTTGTGTAATGTTAAATAGGACTTTCTTGAAAAGACTTTACCACATTGTAAACAAGGGTAAGTAATGCCTGAAAAGTAAAGCAACAAAAAAGGAAAGATAGAATAAGCCAGCGTTAGCATACAAAAGAAAATAATCTTTATGACACATGCTTTCGTGTCTCAAGGAAACGTTAATATATAAACAGTTAAGCACAGTCAGAGCAGAGTGGAGTATTTGTGTACACAATAACAAAACCCCTACAGCTCACCTTAAAGGTGTTACTTTCCAAATCATCCAACTCACAAATTTACCCTACCTAGCGGCGTAAGACTTAACTGGTGATTAGAACTCATTTTATGATCGAAAGTGATCAAAATAGTCTAAAATCAGGTTCAACCAGAATCAACAACTTAAGTTATGATTTGATTGGACGATTTTCGATGTCTCACCTTAAACAACCAATCAAATAAAGTTATTTAATTGCTTTTACTGCTCCCACCCTAATTCAGAATATGGGACTAAGAGACAGCTATTCAGGAATATCTTACCACTAGGGAGATTTCAGGGACGCATTATGTAATCTATGGAATCCTGTAGAAATTAAATTCGATAACATTTGAATCTTTCATTTCTCTTCAAAGGTGGGATGCTTTATAGAAGTAGTCAGAAAACCCTTGAAAAATTCATACACCAACCTCTTTAATAATCCCAGAAACTTACTTGACTCTATGTATATTCAGCGGCAAACGTTTTTCGAGGAAAACCTTCAAAGACCAAAGCCATTAGTTGCGAATACATGTAGGTTGAAATGTTGTTGGAAAGGCACTTTACTGCTTCACTGAACAAGATTTGGATTTTCAACACCAGTGTTAAGTCAGTCAGTTCTTTTATATGGGTCAGAAACCTGCACTGAGCGTCAACGTGATGGTCAATTCAAGAACCCTTTGCAGTGATCAGCCCGTTGTTCCATTTGTTCCTCCTTCTTGGTGATCAGATTCCCTTGAAATTCTTTTATTGTTTTCATCATCTGGATTGATCTCTTCCTGGATAGACACCTGGTTATCTGACATAATGTCCTGAGGTCTCTTCTACCCGCGGCCTGCCTCTACTGATTCAGTTGCCAGCCAGTGTGTCGTAGAATTGTTTTTCTTAGCAGCCTTCTTGATTTGTTTATTCAGTGCAGTGCACATTGCTGTGAACTTTGCCTCTCCTTCTGTTGTCCATCTTTGCATTGAGTCATGTTCTCCTTCACCATACTCATCTCCTTGCTTCGATCTATTGAGAGCCGTTCCTTGTTGTGCCTCTTCTTTATTCCTACAACAGTTGTACACGTTTCCTTGAACATGACGTTTAGAAAGTTCCAATGTTTTCCACGCAGATTTCCTTGGTCATAACACGAAGTGTATCCAACTTTGCCCTGAATTGATATGTAGTGAAGGCATCCCTTGTAGTTTAGTCCTTCAGTTTCTGAGTGTTGCACTTGAATTACAGTGGCTTGTCTACAATTGTTTTCAGGGATTTCAGCTTCATCTTGAAGGTTTCTTGAACTAGATAATGACGGCCTGAGCCCACATCTGCTCCTCTCCTCGACTTTGTGTCCAGCAGGCTGCGACTTCACTTTCTTGCGCAAGATAAGATGACGTCTATCTGGTTTGCGGTGTTCCCGTCAGGTGAAATCCATGTTATTTTGTGTACATCCTTGTGTCAGGACACGCTGCCTCCGACTAACAAACCATTGAGGGCTCAGAAGTCTGTGAAGAGTTCTCCATTGTCATTCATTTCGCCTACAGCATATCGATCCATCGGTCCTCTTCCCGTATTATCTGCTCCCAGTTTAGCTGGCATTCATAACGCCTATAAGAATTTTGACGTCGCCATTCCAGATGTTGTCCATTACTGTTTGCAGATGTTTATAGAAATATTCCCTCTTCTCTTGTTCTGAGTGGTTTGCAGGTGAGTAGCATTGGATAGTTGTAACCTTTCTTCCTTGCTTTTGAGTTGGCTGTTGCTGCCACGATCCTGGATGAAATTGGTTCCCATTGCATTAGGGCTTTGGCTGCCAATGGTGACATCATGATACCCACTCACTGACTCGGTATGCTCGTGGTTGTCGTCTGGGTGATCGAAGTAGTTTAATTACTCACCAGTTGATAATTTTGACAGTTCCAAACGATTTTATCTGCTCTTACAGATACACGGTACTTCTGTATTACGTGTTAGCATTTATTTGGCTACCTGGGCAATCTTCGCAGCCCCGTACATTGTACGGAAGTTCCATATCCCCATTCCTATTCTCCCTTTCATGACATCAGCTGGGTGATTGGCTTCCCGAAGGCTTTCCCAGCCCGTGTCATTCAGCCTCTCCGCTTCCAGAGAAGAAAAAGATCGTTACTTGAATTTTTTGTATTTTTAATGTCGCCATTGTGCGTTGAAGTTTGTATAGCAGTGTGACTTGTTTCGTGGTGTAGGGTTGCTAGCCCCACACCCAACCCTCCCTGTTTACCCAGGCTTTCGGCCAGCTAGGAAACTAGAGCTTGCAAACTAGGAGAGGTTGGCTAGAAACGATTATCAACAAGAAGATATGTCCATGATCGAATCAACCAAGAACCTATCTCTCAACAAATATGTAGAAGAAAGTGGAAGCGGATTGGATCCACATTGCGTAGGTCATTGGGTGAGATTGCGAGCCACGCCATCGCTCGAGTCGAACCCGAATGGAAATCGACGAGGTGGGTGTAGTTCCGAGGGTGACATCGACGAGATCGTGTGTGGAAGACATGAGAAACTATGGGCAATTGTGGGGTCACCTAAAAAAAGACTACAGAGAAAAGAGTCAAACGGACGGACATGTGCTGCTGAAGCCCTCTGTTTATTCCACTCGGAACCCAAGGGAACAATAAATAAGATAAATAAATGAATACTTCGCTGAAATTGGCTTAAAGGTAAATTACAAGTTGACGGTATGTACTAACATTCAAGGCATACAAGGCCTGCATCAACGGAAATTTTTGTCACACAACACGTCATAAATCTAGACACTGACAGACTAGTAAATAACAAAGCAACTTCACTGACAACTTACGACTTAATGCCGGTCGTAAAATGTATTAGATGTACGGAGAATTCGGTCGATAAGAGTCCATCCGCTTAACTTAACATTTAGCACTTTTGGTACTCATTAAAAGATATATCTGCAATCTCTAATAAACGAAATGTCGCTTCTGTAATTGTAGAACTTGCTGTCAAAGTCAGGGATTTCAGGGGTGTGTGCCATCCACTAGTTGTTATTGGGATATTAAGTAGAGAGTAAAATGTTTACCAAGTGAGTGCGTGTGCGTATGAAAGCTAGTAATGCTACTTGGCCAGAAACGCCAAACACAGTTCGAACACACAACTAAAGATACAAACTTTCTGCTTCTGTAAAGGAGGATAAAATAGGTTTGCATTATCAAGTGCCGGTTGGCAGGGATGTAATTGGTTACACGATTAATCACGAACTGACATCAGTTGCAGACCATTGGAAAACCACGACTGCAATACTGGACAGCTGTTCTGTCCTAGTTTAAGACTCTTCAGTAGATCATCCAGCCAATGAGATCCGACTCAACGGTTCATCAATTTCGAATTCCGCCGATTCGTGGCATATATATATATATATATATATATATATATATATATATATGTAGCGCAACCAACAGGCATTGTCACCACCTGACTTGGTGGATCCCGCTGGTTACGACTTTTCACTGGAACCCTAGGTAACTTCATTTTTAAGGCCAGATGTTAGTGAGTGCTAGATTAATCATCAAGTGTTGGTTTGCAGGGATTTGATTGGTTCCAGGATTACTGAAATCTTTAAAAGAAACAAACATTTATAGAAACACAAATAATCCATACTTACCTAAATGTACAACTTCATTATGCGATTTGAGCGCACCATTTGTCAAAAAACACTGACTACATTGTTCACATTTAAACCTGCTAACTGTTCAAAATAAAAACACGAAAACACATAAAAAAAACACTTATATATATATATATATATATATATATATATATATATGTTTTCGTTTCGTCTATTCAATTTATATACTCTTCCTTTATTACGTTAATTGTTACTATTATTATTCTCACTTCGAATTTTCCCGTATATTATTTCACTTGTTCCACTTGTCACTGTAAACCAATTCTCTGTTCTACAACCTTAAATTCTATGTCATCAAATAATTTCATACAATATTACGTAACGTTTTTATTTCATTCGATTTGCCTACTAGTCCTACAAGTGCACACCCCTTGCAAGTTCTATCCATCCTATGAATTATTCTATATACGACATAAATTATTTCGCTACTTGACATTTAACTATGATTATAATCACAAATATTTTAATTGCATTTCATACTGCTATTATTATTATTATTTTATGCATTCACACCTATTATTCAATTCCCACACTGGATACAATTTCTTAAAAACCATATATATATATTTACGATTGTACAGCTTGATAATAAACTCGTTGAAAAGAGTCCCTTTGCTGAATAATCACTTGTTTTGATTTCAAGTATTCACACCTTTTTTATTTCAATTTTGACTCTCCCATTGATCGATTGAACTAAAATGTTTTGCTTCTGTTGACACATCGGTTCCTAGTGCGGACGCCTTAATCATATCTGAGGACTAACTTGAAGCAATTTTGCTGAACGGGAAGATCAAAACTGAATTTCTAAAAATAATAACTGACACCCATGGCACAAGAGGTAATGGCTCTTATGGCGCTAGTCGTCTATCTGGATATAACGCGTTGACATTTGAAACGATGAGTACTGGGTTCGAGCCTCACTCAATGGGGAATGCAGATATATTCAAACAGAATGAAATGCACATCCTAGATTTCACTGCTAGTCTTTTCCTTGAATAATCCGTTCTTATTGTTACAATGAGAATTATCAAAATTATTAATGAAATAGTTATTAAAAATTATCGTCTGTCTTACCTCCATGAATCATTGCTTGATGAATTTCCAATTTATACTTCTCTGTAAATGTTTTACAACACTGTGGACATATATAGTCTACATCTAAAGTAGTAGTGGTAGTGGGCAAAAATGAATACACACATTGACTTTAAGCCACAAATATAAAAATACAGTCGAAAAAACAAACCGTGTTAAGCTTTCATCTCATCCCATCTATTATTCATTCATAGGAAGTATCTGAAAATCTATGGAAAACCATGTTCCCCATTCAAGATTCTATCTCACATCACATGATTTACTGATCATAAACTGTTATTCAGATAACAGTTGACACCCTAAAGGAAGAAAAGCACTACACTCAACATTCTGGTATTGTTGTGTTTTCTGTACTCCGAAGCTTTCAATATCCATCTGGACAAAATCTTCAGAGATGACTATAATATGAGATTGAGAATTCTCAGTAATGACTGCTTACAACTTTTGATTCAAATGTCAGTTACACAGTTTATCAAGAGTTATGAAGTACATCTAAGTTCTGAGTAAATCATTAAATGCATTATCCAATAGCTTTATTTTGTGTCAAACATTGGTCTGATTCACTGCTTTAGGTGCTTCACATCTAAGTACTGGGTCACAGGCTCGAGCCCTGTTTAGCTTACCAAAGGGTTGGTGACTACGTAACCCTATCAAAGTGGGTATGGGTTACTGTCAAGTGAAAAGCAAATGGTTACTGAGTAAACTTATTTTCATGTTGTCTGGAATTCGACAACCTACAACAGTCCTCTCCTTCAAACGTTATCAAAGATCACATACCATTTAGGCGCATTGGTCTATGCACTATGGTGACACTATTAGCGACGAAAACCGCTTTCATCATTTCAATAGTGTATGCAAAAGATAAGTGGATTTAGCATGTTTAAGTACTCCTACATATGAAAATCCCAGTGACAAATTCATTTTACACGCACATTAATGAAGTCCTGAATCTAGACGTTGTGCTCTTTAACACTCGTCGTCAAGGTGTATCTGCAGCCTCGAAGGACCTGTTGTCCCACACAACCCCTGACATCCGAGCCCTGATCAGCCATTATCGTAATCACAGAACTGACTGAAGACTAACCGGTTTCAACGTGGAACTTTGCACAGAACTACACCAATTCGACTTGCTACAATCCATGAAGCATACAAATGAACACAAAAGAGAAAAAATGAAATTCGGTCGAACCATAATAAGCAGAAATGTGAGGAGGAAAGAATAATCAAATTGAAAGCCAACAGGGCAGATAGCAAAGTGTAAATGCATCTGTGGCATTGACAATCAATTTTCTCCTACCATTGGTTTTTAGCATCCCGACGACGCTAACCAGTCAGTCAAGCAGTCTGCACCTCCCGACGTGGCTCAAGTTAACTATTAAAGATTTCATAGAGGGATGTCATATTTTCGTGTGACCACAAGTTCTTTTCTAACCCTAATCCTATGTCAGCTAACATTGCCCGTCGAGGAAGGCGAAGGCTACGCTAGGTATGCATAACAAATGTCTAAGCCATCTCAATCAATGTAGATTCACAATCTCATCGATTGATCCTCCCTTCTTACCTAACACTCGACGCGTAACCCCTCATTATCATTCATCCTATTAGACCACCTAAAATATGAGAGATAGAACAGAGACAGCTATGCGCATTACAATATCGTCATTCGTTAAGTTAATAAAACAAAACTTACAATTAACCTTAAATATAATTGAAGCCTACCTTTGTGTACGAATTTAGTGTGTATTTTTAAAAATGTTCTGGAAGAATAATAACTGTGACATTTAGTACACTGGAAGACTTTGGATTCTGTGAAAAAAAAGAAAAAAAGAATTACGATTTGTCAATAAGTAAGTGAAGTTAACTTAAGAACAATATCTCTCAAACATTCTTCTGCTTCTTTTCAATTTAAACTTATGCTTCTTAAAGGAATAATAATTATTATTATTTAAGCTGTATCGATTGTATATGAATGCTAAAATTCAAGTGTTGGTTTGTAGGGATTTGATTGGTTTCAGGATTTCATAATGAGCTGACATTAGTTAGAGAACCATTGGAAAACCTGGGAGTACTGGACAGCTGTTTCGTCCTAGTTTACGACTCCTCAGCAGTACACACCCCCTCGGAAAAATTTTGCAGAGCTATTTCGTACTACAGTGTGTTCAGCTTCGTGCATAATTGTTATGTACTGGTCGAGAATTTAATAGTCCTGACACAAGAAAGACGGAAATCAGAAGACCACTAGGTTTGCCATGATACTTCTATTTTCCAAAACACCAAGAGAATCAATGTCACACAAGTGTGAGAGAGCAATTTAGTGTGAATGTCCGAACAAGTGTGTGAACACAAGTGTGTGAGCGAATAACCAAAATGAACAAATCAATAGACAGTCTTAACATGATTGGCTAATTATAATGGAATATCGATCCATGTATACATAGTAAAATATAACCGACTGTCAAACAAACACACATCTTATATGGGTACATATCAATAATTAATACATGCATAGTAGTAGGCGATGAAGATACATGGGAAACAAGAACAACAGACAATAATCAGCATAAATGGAACCACATCCATTACCTACCTACCTGGGAAGCATCGTTTCAACTACAGGTGGATGGAACTGACGAGGACATCAAAGCATGGATCGAAAAAACAAGACAAGCTTTCATTACTCTTAAGTCTGTGTGGAAATCAACAGCACTGAGCATCAAAAATAAGATCCGGATTTTCAACTCCAATGTGAAGTCAGTGCTACTATACGGATCAGACACTTGGCCAGCGCGTAATAAACAGCACCTCAAACAAACTACACACCTTCACCAACAGCTGTCTTCGCTGAAAACTCAAGATCAGATAGTCGGCCGGAAGAGATCAGCAACACGGGGATCTCTGGATCGAACGAACCAGGAACCACTTGTGCAACAAATATGCGGTAAGAATAGAGGTGGATTGCCACACTCTGAGAAAACAAACAAGTGACATCACACGCCAGGCCATCGCTCGAGTGGAACCCGAAAATGAAGCGGCAAGTTGATTGTCCAAGAGTGATTTAGAGGTCATGTGAAAAAGAGATAAACGAATGTGATCACACTTGGAGCCAGGTGAAAACATTCGCAGAGGTCGAACGCAATGGCGACGACTACTTGAAGCCGAATCTTCCTCCAGGATATAAAGGAAAACATAATATAATACAAGTGGGCGAGCACCGCAGGTCCAACCCAGGAAAATCTAGTTCCGAAGAGACCTGATAGACAAAGAAGCCCGCCAGCTAATGATGAAACCTTCCAACCAATCAAACACAATCCCTACAAAACCAATACTTGAAAACATGCCTAGTAGTTAAAAGTGACTGAACGTTATTACTATTACGTTTTTTGTTATACACATACATGTCTATTGCGATTACTCCCCTAGGAACGAGGAAGATCTCTAACTCTCCTGTATAGTTTTCAATCACTGTCCAGCTGACATCGATTCATGACGAAATCTGCATCGAAAGTAATCAGAATCCCTGCAAACATCGAAGTCGGAATATGAAAATGTTTTCAAAATTTCAGTTTACTTATACTCATATATAACTGGAAAGTCTAATAATATGCCGAATACCACAAGCCGTACACTTTATTTGTTATATTCGGTGAAGAAGCAGTAGTCAATTCTGTCTGATTCTGTCTACCCACAATAGCCTTCCGCGCCATCAGGGAACCAGACTGAATAGAAAAACACTAAAACCACTAAGGCAATCCAAGCGCTTAATGTTAGACGTTGTTTTATTTCTCTTCCCAAGCTAAAATAGCATGAGGATCGTTCCTAAGTAAACCTATCCTCTGAAGCTCATAAGACTTCAAGATTTCTAGTTCTTATTTATAATTAGGCTTGAAGATAGCTGGGAGAAATTGACTACAACTTCGAAATCTGCTTTATCCTAAACACTATAGCCTCCACATACTGACTGACTGGTTTCAACGTAGGACTCAGTGTCTGTCAGTGTAGCCTGTTGCGTCATTGATATCTGCAACCCGACCACCACGTCAAGGTAGCAGCCATCGTTCGGCACAGCCTTCGGAAAAATTCCCTGGATCATTCTACAAAGCCTCAAAGTTATAATATTTACATCTTAGAACTTTAATTGTATATACAGCTTCAGTTGAGTTTTATAAAAAGATACCATTGTAACGCCATTACTTGCGATCATTTTATTAGTGTTCCCCCTTTCACACGCTGAAAGATATTATTGGATCAATATTCAACTCAGGTATTTAAATTTAGCGTGAAACGGAATTGCATTCCACCCAGATTACAGCACAGATAAGATTCATTGACTTTATAATTAAAATTAAGGGTAATAACTGTGAGTAAATTATAAAAAAATGAACCACGGGACACGAACGCGATAAAAATAGACGATATGTTAATACAGGTGCGTCGGTAGCACAGCGGTAGGATGCTTGCCAACCACACTTCACGTAGTTCGGGTTTCAGTCCCCGTCTGATGCACTCCCCTTTACCTTGATAAGCCAGTAATAGGACTGGTAAAGAGGGAAGGTTGGGCATGAGGCTAACAATCCCACCCGTAAAAATAAATACCACTGCCACTGAAACTTCATGTCTCCAGTTTGAAACTCTATGCTCCTCTGGGAATGTAAAGAAATAAGAAAAAAAATGAAGAAACTTGACGGTCCCAAGTTCAATCTGAAATGCCATCATCTATGAGAAATGCTCTTAATTCCCAGACTAAGACAAAGGAACTGTCTAGTGCCATCTATTTGTCAACAGCTCTCCATTGCCTATCAATTTGTAGCAAAACTTATCATTTTCAAAATCCGTTTCATTACAAATAAAGTTTAACACAATGTACTCACCTTTCGGCGGATTTCGCCTCTTCTTAACCGCAACAGCACCAACATCGTTACTACAGACATTGTTGTTATTAATATTGTCACTGTTGTTGATGATATCACATTCACTAATCTGTTCAGGATTGCCTTCAACTAGAAAGTAAACATTTCAACGACCAAAATCTTATCTAAGTAACAGGAACAGGATTTATCTTTTTTTTAAATATGACGGATATAAGTAAATTATCATATTGTAACGGTATAAGGCGAGAGACTTGGTCAGGGGCAAGTTTATTTGGAATTCTGCATCGTTATATGGCGAAATTGTGTACACCTTATCTTCAATACAACCTCGTCTAGACTACTAGCTCGCTAGTTTTCTAGCCGGTCCCGAGCCCAGTTAAAGAGCGAAGGTTGGGGCGTGTTGCTAGCAACTCCACCCCCAAAACTTGACCAAATCACTACAGGATCTTCAATGCACAAACATATTAAAAATTCTTAAAATATAAACAGTAACCTTATTTCTCGCTGGAATCGGGGAAGTGAAATGACGCAGGCTGGTGAAAGCCTTCAGGAAGCCAGTCAGCCGATGTGCCTCCTTTCGATGAAAGCAAAAATAAGGATGGGGACGTGGAATGTTCGTACAATATACGAAGCTGGAAAGGCTGTCCAGGTAGCCGCAAATATGAGAAGATATAGAATAGAAGCGTTGAGAATCTGCGAGAGCAGATGGAATGAATGTGGTAGGTGCCAACTATCAACTGGAGAGACAGTAATCTATTCCGGTCACCCAGAGGACAACCGCAAGTACACCGAGGGAGTGGCCATCATGATGTCACCAACAGCAGCCAAAGCTCTCACGCAGTGAGAACTAATCTCCTCCAGGATAATGACACCCAGGTTCAACTCAAAAGGAAGGAAGGTTACAATCATGCAATGCTATGCGCCTACAAACGTCTCAGAACAAGAGAAGAAGGAGGTTTTCTACAGAAAACTACAAACAGTAATGGACAACGTTCCAAATGGCGATATCAAAATTCTGATGGGTGATATGAATGCGAAGCTGGGAGGAGACAATACAGGGAGAGAACTCACCATGGGCCATGAGGCCCTCAGTGAAATGAACGACAATGGTGAACTCTTCTCAGTCTTCTGCACCTTCAATGATTTGGGGATTGGTGGCAGTGTGTTCAAACACAAGGATATACACAAGGCGACATGGATTTCACCAGATGAACACACCAAAAACCAGATAGACTTCATTCCAATCTCAACGACGTGGAGACGGAGCCTACTGGACACAAGACCGAGGAGAGGAGCAGATGTGGGTTCAGACCACTATCTAGTACAAGGGATTTTCAAGGTGAAGCTAAAAGCCTCGAGGATAGCTGGGTACAAGCCACAATGCAAGTTCAACACTCAATTACTGAAGGACACAACCACAATGGACACTTTCAATGCAACTGTCGGAGCAAAGCAGGAAACACTACGCGACATCACTGAAGAATCATGCGTGGAAGAACATTGGAAGTCTCTGAAGGCGATTCTCAACGAAACGTGTTCAACGGTTTTAGGAAGAAAGAAGAGACAAGACAAGGAATGACTCTCAATGGACACTTGGAAACTAATAGAAGAGAGGAGAATGGTGAAGGAGAAAATAATGCAATGCAAAGACGGACAAGAGAAAGAGACGCTGAGCTCAACGTACACAGCAATGGACAAAGAAGTGAAGAAGAGTGCTAGGAAGGACAAAAGACGATTCTAAGACAATCTGGCCACTGAAGCTGAGAAGGCAGCAGGCAAAAGGGGCCTGAGGACATTATATCAGATAACCAAATCTCTATCCGGGAAGAGATCAACACAAGTGAAACCTATAAAAGACAGCCAAGGGAAAACAATTACCGAGGAAGAAAGACAGATTAAACAATGGGCGAGTCACTTCAAAGGACTCTTGAACCGACCACCACCTGCAACCCCTCCAGAAATACCAACAACAGCGCGTACACAACTGAAAGTCGACACCAATCCTCCAACGAAAGCTGAAGTTTTGAATGCAATCAAGCTTCTGGAAGCTGGAAAAGCAGCTGGACCAGATGGAACACCCCCTGAAGCACTCACCGAAAGTAGACCCAGAGACGACAGCAGACATGCTGACTCCATTATTGCAAAAGGTCTGGAAGGAGGGAAAGGTGCCTACTGACCGGAGGAAAGGTTACCTCGTGAAACTACTAAAGAAGGGCGACTAAGGACTCTGGAAGAACTGGCGAGGAATCATGCTGCTGTCGACGCCAGGCAAAATCCTAAGTCGCATCATTCTGGAGGGAATTAAGGACGCACTGGAGACAGAACTCCGACCAGAACAAACTGGATTCAGGAAAGTCAGGCAAATCATGTTCTGACCAAATTGAAACTCTACGCATCATCATCACAGAACAAAGCATGGAATGGCAATCAAACCTCTCCCTACCTCAACTTTATAGACTTCGAGAAGGCCTTCGACAGCGTAGCGTTGACCGTGAAGTAATTTGGAAACTACTCGAGTACTACGGCATACCTCAAACATTCATCAACCTTATTCAACAGCTGTACGACAACGGCACATGTCAAGTCATCCACAGTGGAAAACTCAACGGGGCGTTTAGAGTAAACACAAAAGTCAGACAAGGGTGCTGGCCTATTATCACCAATGATATTCCTAATTGTGATGGACTGGATTATGAGTCAGACAGTGGGAAACGAGCACACAGGGATATCCTGGACCGACGTGAAGAACCTAGAAGACCTGGATTTCACGGATGATGATCGAAGACTTACAAGAGAAAACCGACAAACTGGTTGAAGAAGCAGCCAGCGAAGACAAGGCTCCATATGAACGTAGACAAGACGGAGGTTATGAAAACAACCAGCCAACAAGAACAACAACAGCAGCAGCAACCAGCGCAAATCACCATCAACCGGAGGGATTTGAAAGAGGTTACTTCATTCACTCACTTATCTAGGGAGCATTGCCTCAACTACAGGTAGTCGGAACGGACGAGGATGTCAAATCGAGCGAGAATCAGGAAGGCGAGAAACATATTCATCAACCTGAAACCATTCTGGAAATCTTCGTCACTCAGCATCAACAACAGCATTCGGTGGGATTTTCAATACAAACGTCAAGACAGTCAGTTCTTCTATACGGGTCAGAAACTAGGTGGGCGGGTCACAAAGAATATTTCCAACAGCCGGTCGCAGACCTTTATCAACAGCTAGCTGTCTTCACTCTATGCTGAAGATCAGATGACCGGGTCGGGAAGAATCACCGAGAAGAAACTATGGGAACAAACTAAACAAGAACCAATCGCCCAACAAACATGCAGGAGAAACTGGAGATAGATTGGACACTCGCTGAGAAGACCGCTGGGTGACATCGCTCGACAGGCCCTCGAGTGAAACCCGAAGGGGAAGAGGCGAGTGGAACGTCCAAGATTGACATGAAGAATATCGTATGAAGAGGACATGAAACACTCTGCACTAACATGGATACAGATGAAAAGTACAGCAGATGAGAGAAGAAAGGAGAGACATGAAGTTGAAGCACTATGTTCCACAAGGAATCCAACGTAATATCAATAATATAATATATACAATACAACATTTCTACAAAACCTTGTGTGTTGTGCTACTTCCGGCCACCTTTCATAATGCCTTCCTTTGTGTTCCTTTCACATCTCCCATGTTTTTCCACAACGCTGAATCATTTGTCTTCTCTGACGTTAAATCTATCCTCCTCCGCCTCCTAGTTGATGTTTTATGCAGACGAACGCCTTTACACACTACTGGGATATCTTATCAGTACCACACGCTACAATATGAATTTAATGAGTAGATGCACAACATGGAGTTTCGCATAAAATTCACCTGATTAAAGTTCCCATCACAGCTGCTAGTAATTCCGAAAAAGAACAAAGGTTGGGGTGAAGCTGACAATCCTTACTCTGGACAGCTGTTTCATCCTAGTTTGGGAATCACCGTCAGCACACACCCACCGCCAACGTTCGAAACCAGGACATTCCGGTTACAAGGAAAGTTGGCTCATATACCGCTGAGCCCCTGGGACCCGATTCAATGGCTCATCGATTGATAGAACATAGAATACATGAGCCATTGAATCAGGTCCCGGTGTCTGAATGGTGAACGAGCCAGCTTTCCTTGTAACCGGAAGGTCCTGGGTTCCAACCCTGTTGGTGGGTGCGTACTGATGAACAGTCTCAAACTAGGCTGACGAAACAGCTGTCCAGTACTACTAGGTTTTTCAATGGTTCTCTAACTGATGTCAGCTAATGATGAAATCCTGAAACCAATCAAATCCCTACAAACCAACACTTGAATTTTAGTAGCTCGCCAGATAATGATGAAACCTTCCAACCAATCAAACACAATCCCTACAAAACCAATACTTGAAAACATGCCTAGTAGTTAAAAGTGACTGAACGTTATTACTATTACGTTTTTTGTTATACACATACATGTCTATTGCGATTACTCCCCTAGGAACGAGGAAGATGTGGGTTCAAACCACTATCTAGTACAAGGGATTTTCAAGGTGAAGCTAAAAGCCTCGAGGATAGCTGGGTACAGGCCACAATGCAAGTTCAACACTCAATTACTGAAGGACACAACCACAATGGACACTTTCAATGCAACTGTCGGAGCAAAGCAGGAAACACTACGCGACATCACTGAAGAATCATGCGTGGAAGAACATTGGAAGTCTCTGAAGGCGATTCTCAACGAAACGTGTTCAACGGTTTTAGGAAGAAAGAAGAGACAAGACAAGGAATGACTCTCAATGGACACTTGGAAACTAATAGAAGAGAGGAGAATGGTGAAGGAGAAAATAATGCAATGCAAAGACGGACAAGAGAAAGAGACGCTGAGCTCAACGTACACAGCAATGGACAAAGAAGTGAAGAAGAGTGCTAGGAAGGACAAAAGACGATTCTAAGACAATCTGGCCACTGAAGCTGAGAAGGCAGCAGGCAAAAGGGGCCTGAGGACATTATATCAGATAACCAAATCTCTATCCGGGAAGAGATCAACACAAGTGAAACCTATAAAAGACAGCCAAGGGAAAACAATTACCGAGGAAGAAAGACAGATTAAACAATGGGCGAGTCACTTCAAAGGACTCTTGAACCGACCACCACCTGCAACCCCTCCAGAAATACCAACAACAGCGCGTACACAACTGAAAGTCGACACCAATCCTCCAACGAAAGCTGAAGTTTTGAATGCAATCAAGCTTCTGGAAGCTGGAAAAGCAGCTGGACCAGATGGAACACCCCCTGAAGCACTCACCGAAAGTAGACCCAGAGACGACAGCAGACATGCTGACTCCATTATTGCAAAAGGTCTGGAAGGAGGGAAAGGTGCCTACTGACCGGAGGAAAGGTTACCTCGTGAAACTACTAAAGAAGGGCGACTAAGGACTCTGGAAGAACTGGCGAGGAATCATGCTGCTGTCGACGCCAGGCAAAATCCTAAGTCGCATCATTCTGGAGGGAATTAAGGACGCACTGGAGACAGAACTCCGACCAGAACAAACTGGATTCAGGAAAGTCAGGCAAATCATGTTCTGACCAAATTGAAACTCTACGCATCATCATCACAGAACAAAGCATGGAATGGCAATCAAACCTCTCCCTACCTCAACTTTATAGACTTCGAGAAGGCCTTCGACAGCGTAGCGTTGACCGTGAAGTAATTTGGAAACTACTCGAGTACTACGGCATACCTCAAACATTCATCAACCTTATTCAACAGCTGTACGACAACGGCACATGTCAAGTCATCCACAGTGGAAAACTCAACGGGGCGTTTAGAGTAAACACAAAAGTCAGACAAGGGTGCTGGCCTATTATCACCAATGATATTCCTAATTGTGATGGACTGGATTATGAGTCAGACAGTGGGAAACGAGCACACAGGGATATCCTGGACCGACGTGAAGAACCTAGAAGACCTGGATTTCACGGATGATGATCGAAGACTTACAAGAGAAAACCGACAAACTGGTTGAAGAAGCAGCCAGCGAAGACAAGGCTCCATATGAACGTAGACAAGACGGAGGTTATGAAAACAACCAGCCAACAAGAACAACAACAGCAGCAGCAACCAGCGCAAATCACCATCAACCGGAGGGATTTGAAAGAGGTTACTTCATTCACTCACTTATCTAGGGAGCATTGCCTCAACTACAGGTAGTCGGAACGGACGAGGATGTCAAATCGAGCGAGAATCAGGAAGGCGAGAAACATATTCATCAACCTGAAACCATTCTGGAAATCTTCGTCACTCAGCATCAACAACAGCATTCGGTGGGATTTTCAATACAAACGTCAAGACAGTCAGTTCTTCTATACGGGTCAGAAACTAGGTGGGCGGGTCACAAAGAATATTTCCAACAGCCGGTCGCAGACCTTTATCAACAGCTAGCTGTCTTCACTCTATGCTGAAGATCAGATGACCGGGTCGGGAAGAATCACCGAGAAGAAACTATGGGAACAAACTAAACAAGAACCAATCGCCCAACAAACATGCAGGAGAAACTGGAGATAGATTGGACACTCGCTGAGAAGACCGCTGGGTGACATCGCTCGACAGGCCCTCGAGTGAAACCCGAAGGGGAAGAGGCGAGTGGAACGTCCAAGATTGACATGAAGAATATCGTATGAAGAGGACATGAAACACTCTGCACTAACATGGATACAGATGAAAAGTACAGCAGATGAGAGAAGAAAGGAGAGACATGAAGTTGAAGCACTATGTTCCACAAGGAATCCAACGTAATATCAATAATATAATATATACAATACAACATTTCTACAAAACCTTGTGTGTTGTGCTACTTCCGGCCACCTTTCATAATGCCTTCCTTTGTGTTCCTTTCACATCTCCCATGTTTTTCCACAACGCTGAATCATTTGTCTTCTCTGACGTTAAATCTATCCTCCTCCGCCTCCTAGTTGATGTTTTATGCAGACGAACGCCTTTACACACTACTGGGATATCTTATCAGTACCACACGCTACAATATGAATTTAATGAGTAGATGCACAACATGGAGTTTCGCATAAAATTCACCTGATTAAAGTTCCCATCACAGCTGCTAGTAATTCCGAAAAAGAACAAAGGTTGGGGTGAAGCTGACAATCCTTACTCTGGACAGCTGTTTCATCCTAGTTTGGGAATCACCGTCAGCACACACCCACCGCCAACGTTCGAAACCAGGACATTCCGGTTACAAGGAAAGTTGGCTCATATACCGCTGAGCCCCTGGGACCCGATTCAATGGCTCATCGATTGATAGAACATAGAATACATGAGCCATTGAATCAGGTCCCGGTGTCTGAATGGTGAACGAGCCAGCTTTCCTTGTAACCGGAAGGTCCTGGGTTCCAACCCTGTTGGTGGGTGCGTACTGATGAACAGTCTCAAACTAGGCTGACGAAACAGCTGTCCAGTACTACTAGGTTTTTCAATGGTTCTCTAACTGATGTCAGCTAATGATGAAATCCTGAAACCAATCAAATCCCTACAAACCAACACTTGAATTTTAGTAGCTCGCCAGATAATGATGAAACCTTCCAACCAATCAAACACAATCCCTACAAAACCAATACTTGAAAACATGCCTAGTAGTTAAAAGTGACTGAACGTTATTACTATTACGTTTTTTGTTATACACATACATGTCTATTGCGATTACTCCCCTAGGAACGAGGAAGATGTGGGTTCAAACCACTATCTAGTACAAGGGATTTTCAAGGTGAAGCTAAAAGCCTCGAGGATAGCTGGGTACAGGCCACAATGCAAGTTCAACACTCAATTACTGAAGGACACAACCACAATGGACACTTTCAATGCAACTGTCGGAGCAAAGCAGGAAACACTACGCGACATCACTGAAGAATCATGCGTGGAAGAACATTGGAAGTCTCTGAAGGCGATTCTCAACGAAACGTGTTCAACGGTTTTAGGAAGAAAGAAGAGACAAGACAAGGAATGACTCTCAATGGACACTTGGAAACTAATAGAAGAGAGGAGAATGGTGAAGGAGAAAATAATGCAATGCAAAGACGGACAAGAGAAAGAGACGCTGAGCTCAACGTACACAGCAATGGACAAAGAAGTGAAGAAGAGTGCTAGGAAGGACAAAAGACGATTCTAAGACAATCTGGCCACTGAAGCTGAGAAGGCAGCAGGCAAAAGGGGCCTGAGGACATTATATCAGATAACCAAATCTCTATCCGGGAAGAGATCAACACAAGTGAAACCTATAAAAGACAGCCAAGGGAAAACAATTACCGAGGAAGAAAGACAGATTAAACAATGGGCGAGTCACTTCAAAGGACTCTTGAACCGACCACCACCTGCAACCCCTCCAGAAATACCAACAACAGCGCGTACACAACTGAAAGTCGACACCAATCCTCCAACGAAAGCTGAAGTTTTGAATGCAATCAAGCTTCTGGAAGCTGGAAAAGCAGCTGGACCAGATGGAACACCCCCTGAAGCACTCACCGAAAGTAGACCCAGAGACGACAGCAGACATGCTGACTCCATTATTGCAAAAGGTCTGGAAGGAGGGAAAGGTGCCTACTGACCGGAGGAAAGGTTACCTCGTGAAACTACTAAAGAAGGGCGACTAAGGACTCTGGAAGAACTGGCGAGGAATCATGCTGCTGTCGACGCCAGGCAAAATCCTAAGTCGCATCATTCTGGAGGGAATTAAGGACGCACTGGAGACAGAACTCCGACCAGAACAAACTGGATTCAGGAAAGTCAGGCAAATCATGTTCTGACCAAATTGAAACTCTACGCATCATCATCACAGAACAAAGCATGGAATGGCAATCAAACCTCTCCCTACCTCAACTTTATAGACTTCGAGAAGGCCTTCGACAGCGTAGCGTTGACCGTGAAGTAATTTGGAAACTACTCGAGTACTACGGCATACCTCAAACATTCATCAACCTTATTCAACAGCTGTACGACAACGGCACATGTCAAGTCATCCACAGTGGAAAACTCAACGGGGCGTTTAGAGTAAACACAAAAGTCAGACAAGGGTGCTGGCCTATTATCACCAATGATATTCCTAATTGTGATGGACTGGATTATGAGTCAGACAGTGGGAAACGAGCACACAGGGATATCCTGGACCGACGTGAAGAACCTAGAAGACCTGGATTTCACGGATGATGATCGAAGACTTACAAGAGAAAACCGACAAACTGGTTGAAGAAGCAGCCAGCGAAGACAAGGCTCCATATGAACGTAGACAAGACGGAGGTTATGAAAACAACCAGCCAACAAGAACAACAACAGCAGCAGCAACCAGCGCAAATCACCATCAACCGGAGGGATTTGAAAGAGGTTACTTCATTCACTCACTTATCTAGGGAGCATTGCCTCAACTACAGGTAGTCGGAACGGACGAGGATGTCAAATCGAGCGAGAATCAGGAAGGCGAGAAACATATTCATCAACCTGAAACCATTCTGGAAATCTTCGTCACTCAGCATCAACAACAGCATTCGGTGGGATTTTCAATACAAACGTCAAGACAGTCAGTTCTTCTATACGGGTCAGAAACTAGGTGGGCGGGTCACAAAGAATATTTCCAACAGCCGGTCGCAGACCTTTATCAACAGCTAGCTGTCTTCACTCTATGCTGAAGATCAGATGACCGGGTCGGGAAGAATCACCGAGAAGAAACTATGGGAACAAACTAAACAAGAACCAATCGCCCAACAAACATGCAGGAGAAACTGGAGATAGATTGGACACTCGCTGAGAAGACCGCTGGGTGACATCGCTCGACAGGCCCTCGAGTGAAACCCGAAGGGGAAGAGGCGAGTGGAACGTCCAAGATTGACATGAAGAATATCGTATGAAGAGGACATGAAACACTCTGCACTAACATGGATACAGATGAAAAGTACAGCAGATGAGAGAAGAAAGGAGAGACATGAAGTTGAAGCACTATGTTCCACAAGGAATCCAACGTAATATCAATAATATAATATATACAATACAACATTTCTACAAAACCTTGTGTGTTGTGCTACTTCCGGCCACCTTTCATAATGCCTTCCTTTGTGTTCCTTTCACATCTCCCATGTTTTTCCACAACGCTGAATCATTTGTCTTCTCTGACGTTAAATCTATCCTCCTCCGCCTCCTAGTTGATGTTTTATGCAGACGAACGCCTTTACACACTACTGGGATATCTTATCAGTACCACACGCTACAATATGAATTTAATGAGTAGATGCACAACATGGAGTTTCGCATAAAATTCACCTGATTAAAGTTCCCATCACAGCTGCTAGTATTTCCGAAAAAGAACAAAGGTTGGGGTGAAGCTGACAATCCTTACTCTGGACAGCTGTTTCATCCTAGTTTGGGAATCACCGTCAGCACACACCCACCGCCAACGTTCGAAACCAGGACATTCCGGTTACAAGGAAAGTTGGCTCATATACCGCTGAGCCCCTGGGACCCGATTCAATGGCTCATCGATTGATAGAACATAGAATACATGAGCCATTGAATCAGGTCCCGGTGTCTGAATGGTGAACGAGCCAGCTTTCCTTGTAACCGGAAGGTCCTGGGTTCCAACCCTGTTGGTGGGTGCGTACTGATGAACGGTCTCAAACTAGGCTGACGAAACAGCTGTCCAGTGTGGTGAGAGCAGGCTGCTAGCCGATTGGTTGGCACTAATCTACGTTAAGGTCTAGGTCACTAATATGGGCCGTGAGAAAATATAAACAAGCCTGAGTCAACAACCAATCACAGCAAAGTTAACGTGGCAGAATATGATTCGCAGAGAGAACTCTATTTGTCAAGGAATCCCGAAACAACCAATCAGAAGCCTGCGTTTGTCTACCTAAACAACCAATCAGATGACTGCGCTTGTCTATAATAATGTAGTTGAAAGATGTATAAATACGTGTTGATTTTCATAATAAAACGATCTGTTGCCTGGCCCTTGTCTTCTGTTGTTACATTTGGTGTCGCTGCCTACCGACAAATGAAAAGCCTATACCCTGCAGTTTTTGATGGAGACATATGGATCTTCGAGCAGGACTTCAAGGCTTCTGCGCAGTTGAGTGGCGTTCAAAATCTGTCAGCGATGGAGCTGCTACTTGAGACGCTGCTGGGAGGTCGGGCGAAAGCAGCATATGAAGGTGTGGGCCGAAGTATGGACGAATGTTCGACAGGGTCAGGCAAACAGTTTCCAAAGTGGGAAGGACCATATATGGTCACTTCGAGATGGGGTTACGCAGACACAGTCGCAATGGCGAACAATGAGAGGCGCGTGAACGTCAGCGAGCCCCAGAAATGGATACAGCGAGACAAGCCAACGATGACGCCTGCACCAAGTAGATCAAGCCGACTTCAGTCGCACGTATTTGACGGGGGGACGAGTGTGGTGAGAGCAGGCTGCTAGCCGATTGGTTGGCACTAATCTACGTTAAGGTCTAGGTCACTAATATGGGCCGTGAGAAAATATAAACAAGCCTGAGTCAACAACCAATCACAGCAAAGTTAACGTGGCAGAATATGATTCGCAGAGAGAACTCTATTTGTCAAGGAATCCCGAAACAACCAATCAGAAGCCTGCGTTTGTCTACCTAAACAACCAATCAGATGACTGCGCTTGTCTATAATAATGTAGTTGAAAGATGTATAAATACGTGTTGATTTTCATAATAAAACGATCTGTTGCCTGGCCCTTGTCTTCTGTTGTTACACCAGTACTACTAGGTTTTTCAATGGTTCTCTAACTGATGTCAGCTAATGATGAAATCCTGAAACCAATCAAATCCCTACAAACCAACACTTGAATTTTAGTAGCTCGCCAGATAATGATGAAACCTTCCAACCAATCAAACACAATCCCTACAAAACCAATACTTGAAAACATGCCTAGTAGTTAAAAGTGACTGAACGTTATTACTATTACGTTTTTTGTTATACACATACATGTCTATTGCGATTACTCCCCTAGGAACGAGGAAGATCTCTAACTCTCCTGTATAGTTTTCAATCACTGTCCAGCTGACATCGATTCATGACGAAATCTGCATCGAAAGTAATCAGAATCCCTGCAAACATCGAAGTCGGAATATGAAAATGTTTTCAAAATTTCAGTTTACTTATACTCATATATAACTGGAAAGTCTAATAATATGCCGAATACCACAAGCCGTACACTTTATTTGTTATATTCGGTGAAGAAGCAGTAGTCAATTCTGTCTGATTCTGTCTACCCACAATAGCCTTCCGCGCCATCAGGGAACCAGACTGAATAGAAAAACACTAAAACCACTAAGGCAATCCAAGCGCTTAATGTTAGACGTTGTTTTATTTCTCTTCCCAAGCTAAAATAGCATGAGGATCGTTCCTAAGTAAACCTATCCTCTGAAGCTCATAAGACTTCAAGATTTCTAGTTCTTATTTATAATTAGGCTTGAAGATAGCTGGGAGAAATTGACTACAACTTCGAAATCTGCTTTATCCTAAACACTATAGCCTCCACATACTGACTGACTGGTTTCAACGTAGGACTCAGTGTCTGTCAGTGTAGCCTGTTGCGTCATTGATATCTGCAACCCGACCACCACGTCAAGGTAGCAGCCATCGTTCGGCACAGCCTTCGGAAAAATTCCCTGGATCATTCTACAAAGCCTCAAAGTTATAATATTTACATCTTAGAACTTTAATTGTATATACAGCTTCAGTTGAGTTTTATAAAAAGATACCATTGTAACGCCATTACTTGCGATCATTTTATTAGTGTTCCCCCTTTCACACGCTGAAAGATATTATTGGATCAATATTCAACTCAGGTATTTAAATTTAGCGTGAAACGGAATTGCATTCCACCCAGATTACAGCACAGATAAGATTCATTGACTTTATAATTAAAATTAAGGGTAATAACTGTGAGTAAATTATAAAAAAATGAACCACGGGACACGAACGCGATAAAAATAGACGATATGTTAATACAGGTGCGTCGGTAGCACAGCGGTAGGATGCTTGCCAACCACACTTCACGTAGTTCGGGTTTCAGTCCCCGTCTGATGCACTCCCCTTTACCTTGATAAGCCAGTAATAGGACTGGTAAAGAGGGAAGGTTGGGCATGAGGCTAACAATCCCACCCGTAAAAATAAATACCACTGCCACTGAAACTTCATGTCTCCAGTTTGAAACTCTATGCTCCTCTGGAATGTAAAGAAATAAGAAAAAAAAATGAAGAAACTTGACGGTCCCAAGTTCAATCTGAAATGCCATCATCTATGAGAAATGCTCTTAATTCCCAGACTAAGACAAAGGAACTGTCTAGTGCCATCTATTTGTCAACAGCTCTCCATTGCCTATCAATTTGTAGCAAAACTTATCATTTTCAAAATCCGTTTCATTACAAATAAAGTTTAACACAATGTACTCACCTTTCGGCGGATTTCGCCTCTTCTTAACCGCAACAGCACCAACATCGTTACTACAGACATTGTTGTTATTAATATTGTCACTGTTGTTGATGATATCACATTCACTAATCTGTTCAGGATTGCCTTCAACTAGAAAGTAAACATTTCAACGACCAAAATCTTATCTAAGTAACAGGAACAGGATTTATCTTTTTTTTAAATATGACGGATATAAGTAAATTATCATATTGTAACGGTATAAGGCGAGAGACTTGGTCAGGGGCAAGTTTATTTGGAATTCTGAATCGTTATATGGCGAAACTATGTACACCTTATCTTCAATGTGTCATTTCGACAAATCTTGTGTGTTGTGCTACTTCCGGCCACCTTTCATAATGCCTTCCTTTGTGTTCCTTTCACATCTCCCATGTTTTTCCACAACGCTGAATCATTTGTCTTCTCTGACGTTAAATCTATCCTCCTCCGCCTCCTAGTTGATGTTTTATGCAGACGAACGCCTTTACACACTACTGGGATATCTTATCAGTACCACACGCTACAATATGAATTTAATGAGTAGATGCACAACATGGAGTTTCGCATAAAATTCACCTGATTAAAGTTCCCATCACAGCTGCTAGTAATTCCGAAAAAGAACAAAGGTTGGGGTGAAGCTGACAATCCTTACTCTGGACAGCTGTTTCATCCTAGTTTGGGAATCACCGTCAGCGCACACCCACCGCCAACGTTCGAAACCAGGACATTCCGGTTACAAGGAAAGTTGGCTCATATACCGCTGAGCCCCTGGGACCCGATTCAATGCCTCATGTATTCTATGTTCTATCAATTGATGAGCCATTGAATCAGGTCCCGGTGTCTGAATGGTGAACGAGCCAACTTTCCGTGTAATTGGAAGGTCCTGGATTCCAACCGTGTTGGTGGGTGCGCACTCACTGAGGTGTTTGGGACATATGTTACACATACGTTAGTAGGCATTGCCCTCTTCGAAGGGCTATGTTAACTGACATTGGGTCAGGCTGGAAAAGAGCTAGCGGCGGTCAAATCAAAACATGGCACCAGTCAATGAAATCCACAACAGTTAGTTTAAGCGAGTCACGTAGGAAGGTGTGGACTTTCTAACTGGTTGGGGTCCTCGTGACGGTAAAATCCAATGGTTGGAAACATTTGGTGATGTCTCAAAAGGATCGTTCTCAATGGCTGGTGCAGATGCATCCAGTCCTTGTGACTTATGATTTCCAGTGAAACTATATTGTCCTTCGTTATTAATATTCTTTTGTCTCACACCTCTGTTTACTGTCCCTATTATGCTTTTCTTCTACTTTCTTCTCTTGCTTTGTGTCCTACATGGAGTATGGCGACTTGAACTGCCGCACATTGGTGCAAAGTTTTATGTCGAAAAGACAGACAGACGCTGATTCGCAAACTAGGATGAAACAGCTATCCAGTACTCCCTGGTTTTTAATGGCTCTCTAACTGATATTAATCCGTGATCAACTCGTAAATAACAAAACTAATCCTTACAAAAACAACTATAGAAAATCCCAACTCTTATTAAGTGTCAATGCATAAGGCCTTATGTCCCACTTGGAATGCAAGGAACTAGACACACGAATTCATAGTGCAAATACCTTTTCAGTTTAAAGTGTATTAGCTAGAAAATAATATGTAACATAGAGAATAAACCCAGTTATGTGTTGCAATCACGGAAAACAAGATAACCTGATTCATCAACAAAATATACATGTTAAAAATCATACAACATATTGCTTGTTAATTACACAACAGTGGAATTTTAAAATCTCATAGGGAATTATTTTCCGAGAACATTTCTAACTATTTATATATTTTCTTATGTGACAATGAGTCAATAGTGAGGTTAAGAGTGAAGTGTTAGGTAACAGGAAAAGATTAATGCATATTGTTGTCAAGCTCGACTGAAATGAGTACATATGCTATGAACGTCAAAATACCGCCCTCGCTGAATAGTAATTTCCGTTGATAAAAGACCACGTAACCAGAAAACTAGCGGTAGTCATACAACAACACTGCATCAACCCATTTCACTAACTGATTATCTGAACCACGTAGAGAACTGTAACAGACGTCCCAAGGATGATAAAAATCTACAGATGGAGAATGTTGATGAAATCACTCAGAGTCGTTTACAATGGTGCAAACGTCTTTACCGCCCACCATCAACTAGATGCTACATCCTTCCTCCTGCATATCTTTGTCTTCTATAGTTTCACTATATTTCTTTTCCCTACTTTGATTTGTGCTTTTAGGAAGTATGGTGATTTAAAGTAATGCAGTTTTGCACAAAGCTTGACGTTAATGTTAGTCTGTCAACAGTAAGCAGACGTTTTATCTTCATGTGTTGCTTTCTATTCCACCGTATTCAAAAATATCAGTATCATATTATACAACTAAAAAGTAAAAGACAACGCCTCCTCCTTACCTTTACTATGATTTTCCATTTCCACATTTTCATCTCTCTTCACATCATATTTCTCTAATGACTTCGATATCAGATCATCTAACTGTACTGGTTGTTCAACTTTAAGATGTATTCGAGAGCAAAGATCATTTGCAGATGTATCCATTATGCTACAAAAAACAGCAATTTGATTTATAATAATTATTATAATAATTATTCAAAGAGCACAAGCGTTGCAGTTGTGCATAAACATATAAGTGGCTAAAGACAATATATCTTAGAAAACACAGAAATGTAGGATGTCTTCTTTCTTTACTAAAATAGACGTAAAATATAACTAACATTCCCGAAAACTTGAATTACACCATGACAGATAACATTTTCTGAATGACATTCTTACTTACATACTTTGGCTAAGCGAAAAGATGTACGATGACTTCGCCTTCATGACCTACTAATTCTTCTCACAAAAAAGGAATTCAACATAAAAAAAATCACCAAACGAACTCAAAATGAAACTCGAAACTGCATGTGCGTATAGGATGACCATCCCTTGAGTCACCCGGCTTTTAACGACTGACAAAAAAGGCATGCAAACTGCACACGGTTTAAAACATAAAAAGTCTATAACTGAAACGCAGACAAATAATATGCCACGCTTCACTTACATAATAACTTTACATATTATGAATATATATTCAGGAAGCACAGATTACCTAATTATCCGAATGTAAACAAAAGACACCTAACCGTATCCACGGCACTTATGAGCATGAGCAGAATTTTTCTCATGTGTATATTCTGTCGTATCGCGATTACTGTCTCGTTAACTGACTAATCATACTGCATCGCTTAACTTCTATTTCTATTTATAATTTAACCTACAAGAGTAAACGTCTCCGTGTTCATACCCCTACACTACAGTTTCAGTAGTAAAATCGTGAATAGAGCAGAAAATAAGACGACCATTTTAGTTTCAGTGGTTGTTTATTGACTTGAATGCTTAGACTTCAACCAGTGGATCCTAGAGTAGAATCTTAATCAACACATATATCAGCTTGAGAATTGTAGCAGTATCGTTAACTCTCGTGGAATAATTTTGACCGTAGTACATGAAGAAAACATACGGTGCAAATCACTTTTATCACCTTTCCGGTTGCAATTTAAGCAGGGGGGAAAATGCTGCCTGAAAAATTAAAACGTACCTAGAGAAAACTATGAATTCTGCCTTCTTTTACAATAATCCAGTCAGTTGGCTATGTATGGGACCTTCTGGAGAGCTCAGTAACATAACAAATATGCGAATAAAATACAAGTCAATAAGATGATAGTGTACCAGCATATTATAGAAAATCCAGTAATGAGTTATATTAATAAAAAGGGTGACGATATATGCTATAACCTGTTATATTTTCCGCGCCTCAGGTTTTCCCGTCTTTCATTGGTTAGAACAGTGGCAGCCAATTGGATTTTCAATTCTCCTAGGTATGTGATGTCGGGTGCTGTACGGTATATATACTGCAAACCCACACGTCAAGCAGTGATCTGAAACAGAGAGCAAAGCGCACGTTAGCAGTGTAATCACACAAGTGTTGCGTGCTAGTAAGAACGAAGACTCAAGGTCAAGTGTTATATTTACAACCAATCGCAATAAAATTAGATAAGAGGGAAGGGGCACTCCTATTGGTCATCCGTTGCCTCGTCTTGGGTAACCAATCCCTGCATAATTCGCAGCCAAACTGAAAGTAGACAAGCATAGTTTGAACATTAGAAAACCGCCGAACTTACCATGCCTTACACTGCCCCCTCTCCCATAGGAGCACTGTGCTAGGTGACTGTTCCTGCGGGACTTGTCTGAACTAAGGCCTGTTGTCGGAAAGGTTTTAGTCTATTGAAGTGTGTAACTAGACTATGAGAGGAATTTGGTTCCTGGATCCTACAGGTGCAGTCACTTAGTACCTCTACTACAGTGAATGGTCCTTCCCAGCGTTTATGGAATTTAAGAGCTTTCCCTTTAGGTGGTGCCTCCTTAAGTAGCATCACCTTGTCTCCTGGCTCCACTGGTGATCCATGTGCTTTCCTATCATAGCATTCTATCTGGTACCTCTGGTTTGTTTGGAGTATATCCCTAGTCATCTGGTGTACCTTGTTCAGGTTTCGTCGAAGTCTGATTACGTGTTCGGATGCAATCAATGTATCCTCTCCTGGTGTGTTTGAAGTCAGATCGATTGGCAACCTAAATTCTCTTCCAGTGACCATATAACGAGGCGTTTGATGCGTAGCTTTGTGAATGCTTGCTCTGTATGCCATTAAGCACTGTGAGAGTGATCGGTCCCATTCACTGGGGTTGTCTGGATCTACAAATGCCTGCAAGAGAGAATTAAGTGTCCGATTGGTGCGTTCAACCAAGCCATTTCCCTGTGGGTGGTACGCGGTAAGGCGTGTCTTCCGGATACCTATTATACGACAGAGTTCGCTAGCAACGATACTTTCAAAGTTGGATCCTCGATCTAAGTGCAGCTGAGGTGGTGCCCACCAACGGCTGACCCAGTGGTCAAAAATTGACTCTGCGATGGTTACAGCGTCAATCTGTGAGATCGCAATAGCTTCGCACCATTTGGTAAAACTGTCTACCATGACTAAAATATAGTTGTTATTTCTGGAGGTTACTGGGAGAGGTCCAACCAAGTCTATTTGTACTAAGTCATTCGGATGGCCAGTTATAATGGGTTCTAAGGGTGCCTTATTATATTTGTGCGGAGCCTTAATAGTTTGGCATACCTCGCAGGAGTCACAGAAATCTATATTTTATATTTGTTTATATTTTTGATTACAGATTGATTCCACACTGTATTTTTGGTACAAGTATGGAATTTTCAGCCAACGATATCGGTAGCCCAAATTTTGCAGGCCAACCATAGATATCAGGTGTGCGTCGGCAGGGGATCGAACCTCGGACCATGTGTATGGTTGGGGAGAGTCCTAACCACTGTGCCACCGACGCAGTTAGTTTAAGCCAGCCACTTAGGAAGTTGTAGACTTCCTGATTAGAGTCGTCGGGACAGTAAACACCAATGGCTGGAGACAGTCGGTGATATGGCTGCAGATGCATCCACTCTTTTTGACTTATAATTTCCAATGAAACTATATGGTTCTTCGTTATTACCACTCCTTTTGTCTCATATCCCTGTCTACTGTCTCTATTTTGCATTTCTTTTTACTTTCTTCCGTTGATTTGTGTGCTATATGGAGGGAGTGTGGCGACTTGAACTGCTGCACATCGGTGCAAAGTTCTGTGTTGAAAACAGACAGACGGGAAGTTTAATATACACATTTTTACAACTGCTTCCCTCTCCAGGACTAAATATTTAACAGAGACATTCAGTTGTAGGGTCAAAGAAACAGGTAATGAAGATATAACTGAGAATGAACTTAAGACTGAATACGAAACTACCAATTGGAAATCACCATCCAGAATTGTTTATCAGAAAACATACAGTTACGAAGGTAAGAAATAAATGTTCTACATCTGTAAGCAAGAAATCTCTGCATATGAGTGCAATTTAAAGGTGACGCACCAAACAAAGTAGTAACAAACAAGCTAAGAAAATCAATTAAATGGACTAGGAACTTTTCAGAGCATGAAAGATCTCCATGTCATGCGTTTAAGAAAAAATAAGTCAACAAAGAGATTTCTTTGCCAACTTAAGTATTCTTAAAAGCACTAGACTGGTCACCTCTTCCCAGATATATCATTTCAACTGCTCTAGTGGAATCCAGGCCCAAACACGCCATAAAGTTAGCATTGAATTACCAAAAGTCTCTAGCCATCCAATAATCCAAACGATAGAAGCCACAGCAATTAGGTCAAAACAACTGAGAGTTTGTGTACAACCCTGACCTGATGCGGAATCCATAAATTCTACAAGCTGGTCGAAGCATCAGCAAGACATGCCAAAAAAGCAGGAAATCTAGGTGAAGACAGGGCGTCTTGTTAATATAACATCAAATCAGAGTTCAACGCAATAGCGAGCCATCCTGTTTAGTGGTCGTATTGCAAAACTGACTGAGACAACTTAGTTTGCAATAACACTAATGACATTATGTGAAAGATTAGTTATACAATAATGCCCAATTAATGAAAAGCAACCTTATGTTTAGCACCTATCAAAAAGTTAATATATTAAATTATTTTATTTTTACACATTTTCTGTAAAACATGCATACTATTAATCGTATCTCTCTCATGGATGATATTGTGCTGCAGTCCGAAGAAACACTCATAGTAACTAAGCTCAATGTTAACCACCAGATAAATCGCTGTGAACCGAAAAACTACCCAATGTGGATAAACAGAGACTAAAGAATCCCTGAGGGAATGACTTAATTATTTTTAGACATTATGGACGCCTTGACACTAAGTATTCTGAAGTTATGAATGACTTCATGCAGTTTGCGAAAAGCCAGAATACACTTAGGAATTCCAAGAATCCGTTTGAAGTATTTCATTTTTGAGACAACAGAAAAAAGATACTATCTCGACTGCAGCACTTACTCAAAACTGAACAAGAACAACGATTGATCCCTCGGACATGGCTAAAACTTTGTCACATTACCTTAGATGACTATCAAAAGATCGTTTTTGAGTCTGGTAGCTTTCTTAAAGCTGACTAACTGATATGCAGTATAGAACTTTGAACAGAAGTGAGATAGTTCAACTTGCCGCACTCCATGTAACACACGAACATAGGGAGAAGAAAAGGAGGCTCAAAAGAACTATAATGAGCAGAAATAAGCGGGAAAAAGAATAGTGACACGTTAAAAACTGAGGGTCACTGTCGTTTTTATATAACTGGATCAGTCGAAGTCATCAATTTTTGAAGACTTCCGACTTCAAAATTTCCTAACTTGACAGTAAGACAGGGGAGTGCATTGATATATTCTTTAGAGATAGAGAAGAAAGGCTGCCTTTGTACCAACCGAAAGAGAATCAAATTAGAGTACCACACTTAACCCGCTTTTCTCAATGAAATGTAAGTGTTACCGAAGCTACTTGTATCAAAGCTGAACACTCAAGACCTATTGTCAATGGAGTTGAAGATTGAACGATCAATTCATGGTTGTTTGCTTAAAATCAACTTCCCCAATTTTCGCGGAGGCATCAATACGACAGTCATCGTCTCATCGGTCGCTGTTCAGAAAGAAGAGTGAAACATCGTCAGAAACCTTGGTTCGCTTATTCTTTTTATATGTTGGTGTAACAATAAAGAAATATCAAGCGGCAGATCGGTGTTTTGGTTTTTCGTCCGTTATAACTAAGCGTTTCTGAAATCTTCAAGGGACAGCGTGGGCCCGAGCGTAGCGAGAGCTGGGCATTAACGGTTTATGAGACGTGATTGACACCTATGCAATGATACTCGTTTGTTGGATTTTAAGCAGTGTACTACCTAAGTAAACAAATAATGTAGGTCGACAAGAGTAAGACTGAAGTCGTACACATTGATGTAAACGACTCACAAGACCACGAATTCGGTGGTTGAAATCTGGTTCTCACACCGAGTCATAAACTCTTGGAACCGACTACCAGAAGTGGCGTCTGCAACCTCACTGATTCGTTCGAAAAGGGTACAGACAGTTAGTTACAGTAACTAAATCATAAAATCACACTATAAAAAATGTAGGACAGGAGGTGGGTAGGACTACTGAATATAGCAGTCCCTTAAAGGACTTTCAAATGATTTGAAAACACCAAATGAATTGAGTCGCATGACCCCTTGGACCCCACCTAATGTTGTGACTTAACAATGGATATCAGCTCACCCCGCAACCACAGTGATATGTATCCACATATATATATATTTATGTGTGTGTGTATGTTGGTCTCTCTTTCTGTTTGCTCGCTTAGTCTGTGACCATTTCACTTGTATGAACCTGTCTCCTTTAACAATGTATATTCCCCTTATATTATATATGATATGAGTGTTTGTTGACAGTCCGTTGCTTGGTGACAGATATCCATATTATATGTGTGGTTGTTGGCATGTCTGCTATATTTTGCCATGTATATATGGACCGATACTTCGTTATAATTAGCTATTCATGTTAAGACTGTCCAATGATTGTTCACACCTTTGTCTGAACATTCATATATATATTTCGTTCTCACAATTTGTGTGATTGACTTACTTACACTTACTT